AATGGGGATGGAAAGCGCACCGTCGTCGCCCGCGTGACCCGCGACATCCAGCGGATCAGTGCGCACCGCGCGGTCGATCTCCATGTGAACGAACGGGCCGATGCGGAAGACCCCATACATGTCGACGTCATAGGTCCGGTACGTCATCAACTCGTCGAGTTCACGGTAACCCGCTGCGTCACATCAGACATCACGGCCAAGATCGGCTCCGTCGGGATCCTGGAGAGTTTAATAACGCTGCAACTGGAAGGCTGCCGGAATCTGATGATCGAGAAGGAACATTTTGCCGGATTGGGCAATGTCAGGATGATCCGATTCTTCGCATCTACCATCGTCCGCCTGGAATCGTACACTTTCACGGATCTGCCGCGCCTGGACAGTCTGATGCTGGAGTATGAATTGACGTCGCAGCTGAAAGACTTACGGGACGATGCTGATTCCAGCGAGGAGATGCTCCCGGGATTTCTCAACAAGAATGACTTTATCATCGTCCGCGCACTGCACTGCGATTGCTGGTGGGGCTGGTTCCGCAATTTTCTCAAACGGAAGCCCCATTTGACGGCTGCAAAAAAAGAAGGCGCTGTAGCGACGATTGGGACCTACAAGACGCCGACAGTTCTCAACAGTGGCGAGGTGCCGAACGTCTTTAGTGTGGACTGCTCCCGTGACCTGAAATTTGATAACATTCGGGCTGGTACACAGTTTTCATATAATACATCTTGCTATACTATGGCGGATTGTGGTGTAGTGCCGGGTGCATAAGTGCTTGCGGACTTGTGGTATTTCCGACTGGAAATCAGTAAACCAGTAACAACAAAAAGATCAGGCAAAATTATTTGCCAGTTTATTTTTCGAAATCTAATTAACAAGTAATAAATGTGGGAAAATAATGACTGTATTTTATCAGCTAGCGGTCTGATGTTCGTAACGTACAATAACTTCTCTACTTCTGTTAATAAAGTGCTGCTGGCTGCGTTTGCCTACGTGAATTTGAAACTCAAAAGATGTAAGCCATCGTTATTAGCCGGTACATGGTACATGCAGTACATGAAAATAGTGCAAGTACTGCAACATTCAACGTGCTGTAAATGTATTGTTCTGCGCCGGAAATCTATCATACTCAAAATGCGGAATGGGGAAACTGCACTCGTAGAAACCGGGGTGTCCCCACGTGACGCTTTTTGTCTTCAGCGTAAAGTTGTACACATACGGTGAACGCAAATTACGCTCGGCGTGCCCAACAAAGCCGGCCACGCTTCGGTATTATCGGCCACATCCGTCAAGAATTTGACCGCAAGCAAGTACTTCCCTTTGCGCCTACCTTTGCTATATATCTGTACACAATTGCAACGCTGTCAGGAAGATTTGGATCGCACAAATTGCAAAATACGAATTTTATTGCAAAAACCTAGATGGCTCGTTTGAAGATTGCGAAGTTGTTTAATAAATTTAGGTTTAGCGTGTCTCGGTAGTTACTAGACCATGCTGGTGTTCTTGCCAATAATATCGTGATACCATGTTTTGGTCATTTGATGGACCATTCGATACTGGCCGCACACCGTCGCACACAAGAACAGTTACGCAAAGGGTACTTCATTTATTAATAATCAACGTATAGTTCTGGTGATTGGTAATAAAAGAAACTCGAAAATTTATTCACAACAGCAAAACTTCATTTAACTATCCACTCCATCCATCGCGCCAAGGATACATGCTGCATTTCCGCGCTGAATCTCCGGCGATAGACGCAGAAATCCATGCGATCGGCGCTCTTCTGTTTGCTGCTGCCGTCTTTTGCCCAATTCCTTCACAATAGCAACAGCCGCCGGCAGAACCTCGGGATTTCCCTAATGGCAGAGGAGCCTTCCGGTAGTATACGTGTTCACCTCATGGTCAGCAACACCAGCTGTCCAGCTTTCTGCAATCATGTTATGCTCACGACACCGGACACTGCAATCATGTTACGCTCACAACGACTTAATCAGAACTGTCACACAAAAAACCACTTGTCAGTTAACAACATTACACTCCTTTAATATGCGCGAAGAGATCTAGCATTGAGCTACAGCGTGGCAAGGTACATCGCAGGAAAACTGGGTTCCTTCACGTGTGTTGTCGTACCACAGCTTCCGCGAACAATTCACACTGAGGACGCTCGACATGATGGCCGGATCAGAATATGTGACATAGGAATTCATGTAGTTCCCCACGGTTACCAGTACACCGTCTGCTTTGGCGGTCAGGCGTGGCTGGCGTTTGAGGAAGTTGCGCAGCCATGCCAGCGCGCAATCACAGTGCAGTCGGCGTACTAGGGCAATATCCTGGTCACTAAGCGTTGATTCAGCATTGTCCACGCGTGGATCGCGCTTTACTAAGGAGTCGATTTTCCACAAGCTCCAGGCAATTCCATCTTCCAACATTAGATTATCCACATGCGTAGATCGGTAAATGTGAAACGTTCAAGCTAGGCGATGGTAGACACACTGAAGAATTGAAGATGATCACTCGCCCTTGACGCAATCCGGTGAAATCCTTCTTTTGGATTACCATACCGAAGCAGAAACTGAAAGTTAGCACTAGCACATTCGGCAACGTCCAGATATCGTAGATATTGTAGATTGTAGACGTTGGCGGCACATTTCACTACGGACAAGTCAAGCAACTGATGGCGCACCGGATCTGTGACACTCGAATGCAGCGAATCTTTGGCAAGCGGTTTTTCTTCAAACTGTAAGACCACAGCGCGCTGCGTACTGATGCGGTTGATATTTTGCGTTAGTTGTGCTAAAAACATACGACTTTCCGACGCAAACCCGGCTTATACATAGGTTCGCGTGATAGGGCTCCGTAATTCTTGGTCGTCATAATCTTCACGGTATCGAATAGGACTGCAGACCGTCCCGTTGTTCGATAAAGCAAAGTACGCGAGACATTCTGCTATTGCCAGTGTATCGGTAAGGAAGGAGTAGTTTGGCGAGAGTGCCGGAAGCTCTTCAATAGTAATCGATTTTGATTAATTGGGATTCTGGGCATTCAGGTTCTAAATCACCAAGCGTACCTACAATTCCATATTTTTTAACTTTGTACCACGATGTTTTGTGCGATTTATTGCTTGTTGTTGTCTACCATCTGCGATATTCAGAACCCAGAAGATAAATACAGTAGTTGTCAACAAATACAAATAGGGTCTATGTTTTATTTCCGTTTTTGGACGCGTAGTACCTAGACACAGACTTCCCAGGTGTACTACAAACAACTAAGAAAGTTATTTCTTCACAACCATTGTTTTTTATATGCGCCTTGGACGAGCTGCTCAAAGACGAGTTGTTTGAAACGTTTCGGCAATGCACAGCCACAGGGCAAATAGTGCATGAAACAATGGAATTGCTGCTTTGATGGTTTGTTACTAGTATTAAATCACTGGCATAGTGTACTTATGGCAACGTACCATCGGATGTAATTCGCAGTCGCTTACACAACACGTTGCTCCTGTATCTTGGGATTTCTTTTGATCGGGCTAGTGATTGTTGGATGTGCACATTTCCTGCCGGCGCCGCACTCCGATTAAATACCGCTGCTCCCTTCACCAAGACGAACTCTCCCGCATTCACCCAGACGAACTCTCCCGCCGAGTATGTTGTTTGCTTTCCCCAGGAATAGCAACAAGGCGAAGTTCCAAAATTCCAATACTTTATTTGGGCAATAACAAAACTAACGGAGATGAAAATTATTATAAAATTTTCATTAATAACGGAGTTATTATTACTGTGTTGTATCTACCGGGTGGCCGAACAAAATGGCCGTCTAATTTACCAAGGTGCCCCGGCTCAGTCTATTGTCTGATTGCCAGTGTGTTAATTTTATTCGAAAGAGCAATCTTTAGGACGTACAAAATTTATGATAAATCAACCTTACGTCAAGGTCTGATTTTATAGTAAATTGTTTTGGAAAACTAGGTGGAGTTTGAGGATGTCCCGGAAACGAAAATTCGAGTTTCCCTATTTAAGAACAAAAATTCCTGTTATGTATAGAAGTACATTACTGTGTGTCAGATTAGAAGTTTTTGAAGACAGGTTGTTCCTTGGTTTTTTACTGCTAAGAGCTATGACATTCTTGTGACCGTGTTCGGCCAGGAAACGAGAGAGCTCAGGCCACGCACAAGAAATTCTCGTGAATTGGGCATGTAGCGGTTTTGAAAACAAATTCCTTGTGAACACGTGGAGTAATTTTCTAGATTAAACCCGTTTTTGCAAGACCAATGTCTTGGCTACCTTTATCAACTAAACCGACGTTTTTGGATGCGCCAGGTCGCGCAACAAAAAATTATAGCGAAAATATATAAAAAAGTCAGGCAACAAACTTGCAAATTTTTCGAAAAGTACCGAAACGTTCTAACCGAATAGCTCATTTGGCGCAAGGACTATGTCTACAATTTTTTTTTGAATGAAAAACGATGCCATTCTCTAGATAAAACAGTTGGAAAAATGTAAAAAGCTTTCACGAGAAGGAAATGTTGCAAGATTCTGAATTCTGCGAGCTGGGACACGATAAATTTTTACACGATTTTGGTTGGCCCCCTTGTCAACGACCGTGTCTCAATTTTTCAAAACAACTTTTAGTGTTTTCAATAGTCAATAAAATTCTCTATCGAACGAGCTTAAACTGTTAGCGATGTGGTTAACGGTTCGCGAGAAATAAGCCGAAAACGAAGACGGCCATTTTGTTCAGCCACCCGGTATGCTCGTATACTCGCTTGCAACATTTAGAATTTTATCTGCAGAATCTATAGGATTAAAATACACAGCGAAATCAACGTGGACTGTTTTGCCAAATAATGAAAATCATGTAAGGCTTTCGTGAAATAACTGTGGTAATTTACTGGAAACCGGTAACTTGTTTATACTGCACACGCAAAATTTTTCTCTTGAGGCGACAGAAAACTGTCGCACCAATTGACACATAAGGAAGCTCTCAAATACAAAGCTGAGAAATATTGCCATTCTTCCACGACGTCGAGTAACACTTGGGGAGCTCAGACACTTACGAGGCTAATGTATGTAACTGAAAACTTTTGCAGGCAGATAGCCTTAGCGTCTGAGTTTTTTCTCTCAAAGTAAACATCTGTAGCAAAACGAATGGCATGTATGTGGCTTTTATTGCTGTTCTCGTTAGTTTCTGCAGAAGAGTGTCGGCAGTCCACTGTTTACAGTTATGAGGTATGTCAGAAATCATCTTAGCATTAATTTTTAAGAGATAGCATTATACCTCGTATATATACAAGTATCGGTCGCGCTAGCGCGCGTCCAGTTGTATTTGAGCTATAGAATAACGAAAAAAATTGCAAAAGTATAATAATTATAAATACTTCGACTTCACTCGTAGATTTACTGTACGGTTCAGTACATTGATCACTATGCTGCGTGTTACATGCCCTGTTTTCCGATATCGTGTCTTTCGATTACATGTTTCCAACTTGCACTTATAAGTTTTATGTGGCTTTTTAAGTGATAAAAAAATAAACTGAAAGTCCGACATAATATAAAAATAAGTGATATTCCGATCGACGTTTCTGTGAAATTTATTCGATAGGTGATCATAATGGTTATCACTTGTTATACAAATAATGGTGATTGGAATGGTGATTGTCAAAGCACATACTGTGTTTTAGAAAAAGAGAAAAAAAGTTTAAAAAAAGGGATAATACATAAAAGGGTTGAAAACTAACTTTTCGAAATCTCAGCGCTACTGGAAAATCATAATACGTGGGTGATCAAAATACAGACCCGTACAGTAAGTGTGATTAATCTACGAGCGAAGTCGTAGTAATTACAGTAACAAAACACATGTTAAATATATAATTTAAATGTAGAATGCTTTAATAAACAGCAGAACCAGTTATGGAAGAACCAGAACCTTTTTTTAATTCATTAAAAAAAGTTTAAAAGCAAAAATATACACTTACAAGCTCGGCCAGCTTAATAAAAATAATTTTGTTTAGGTATCTGGGGATTTAATTACGAGTATTTAAATGTATCTGAATGATGGCACAGATCAACATAAGTTAGTGAAAAGCCAAGCTGCCATCAGCATCACCGATCGACTTAGGATGGATATGTATATAGACTTATATATATATATAGACTTAGGATATATATATATATATATATATATATATATATATATAGTTTATGCCATTGACGATTAATGGCACATTAACTCTAAAGCGTAATTCTGGAACTATAACCACAAATAACTCTGTAACAAGGATTTCGCGGCATTCTCTCAAACTTCTGAACGAGAGGTCGAAATTCAGTTTAAATTTAGAAAAATTATGCGATCGGATATGCAAATCGTTTCGCGGTGACACAAACATCACAAAGGTGTGTCATAAGGAAACTTACTTGAAATGTTATCAACTTTATACCTTTTTACACTGCTGCGTCCACGTGTAGCATTTTGGCTAACGGCATACTGGCGCTCGGCGTTTTAGTGCATGATAAGCACTTCGTCGCCCTCCTTCGACAACGATAACCTCCGTTTGTTCCTGGCTTTCTATGGTCGTGGAAACTGTGACAAAGCGGAGACAAAAGCCGTAGGAAGCCGGCGTGACTTGCGGGCATTTACCGATGCGAATATCGCCGAGTCAGCAAAAGTCTACCACAAAAGTTTTCAGGTAAGGTATTAGTTGGCATGATTACTTTGTTTTTGTAGCTTTTACTGTAACACTGACATCAGAAATCGAGAAGTTACCAGGTAATTCTGCAGATAATAGTAATTATTGCTACCGGCATCCCTTGCCTGTTGTATTGTAGTATGTCACGGTAATCAGTCAATTATTTTACGAAATTGTAGTATTATCTTCTGCACGATCATACTTTTGGTATGGTAAGGCTACAAATAGTGTCATATTTGTCATGTTCGTACTACAAATAGTGCCATGTTTGTCAATGCGCGAATGGAGGTGATGCGCGACGGGAATGGCCGGACAAACTGGACTGCATGTTGGAACACCATCCTTTGAAAAATCGGGGCGTGGACGATCTGTGTCAGAAGTATGGCATCGTTTTGCAGCCGGATGATGGGACATTGACGAACAGAACTACCACCGCCATAATTAGTACAACAACGGCTCGTGCCACTCTTACCACTCTATTTACAACTACTCCCACAACTATGCCTGCAACTGGATTTACAGTTATACTTATACCTATAAGTCCATAACTATCCCGACAACAGTGTCACTACACCGGGGCCAACCCAGACGCATCAGTCAGGTAAGGTGTGTAAGTCGTTTGGTTTCCGATCCATCTGATTTCAATACCTTGCAGGTACATATCGTCTTATTTCAGCACGCCTTCTGAACAACCTGAGGTTAAACTGAGTTTCATGGTTGTTTCTAGTTAAACTGACTCGCCCCCGTCCATGTGCCTGAGAGCACATTTAATCAGTCAGAAATTCTTGCAACGTTAGACTAACCGCTGACTTCTTCCCACCTATTCCGAATTCCTCAAAAAATTTGTTTGATTTTCACCTATTCCAGCATTTAGTAAAAATAAATGAGCTGAAACTTCAGAGCTACGAATTCCAACCGCTTCCGGTTGGTGAACAAATGGCAGCCTCCCAGTGTGGCAGCGTGGTTTGGCTTTTTGCTGCGAATTTTTCATGCTAAATCATCACTTCTTTCAAATTCAGTTTACCGATTCAAAAGCAAGTCTTTCTACTTGTGTGCCTAATAAAAAGGAAGAACAAAGTGTAGAAAACTTAGTGCATCAATATCAGACCGTTCTACACCAGACTGGGACGACATGGGCTGCGCCTGCGCGGTACACTAGAAAACTCCATGTAATTAAACCATAGACGAGTGCGAGTGTTAATCGATATTCCATAGCGCAAATTTAAACCAGTCGAACGTCCATATCCAGTCAACCGAAACTTGTGTATTATGTAGTGCTTACGTACTATCTTAAAATACGAATTAAACCAATTGTTGAGCGCTAACACGATCCAGTGAATTTACGTGTATGCTTACTGTACGTTCGGGAGCTAAGCTTTTGAATAGGTCAGAGTCCAGGTGAACTCCAAAATAACTGAATCTAAAATTCACGAACTGAACCCTGTAAAATCTGGAAGAATCAGATAATCGTTCGGCGATGCAAAACAGTCCTCGGAAAACTTGGAACCACAAAATATCGTTAAAACGCCCATTTATAACACATTGTGCTATACGAAAACCCCGTTTCACATTATAATGGTTAAGTCAAAATTAGTCCACGCAAAATCCACTCAGGGAAGATTATGAAAAACCTGCCGACGAGCGTGGTTTAATAGGTAGTTTCCACTTTCCATTAACGCCAACCATCTCTTTTTTTTAAAACAGAATACCTACATACGCACTCTGATACGTTAAACTGCGGGCGCATTCCACACTGTGAAAAAGAGAATACCCAAAAATATCATTCATCGCTGGCGGCGACAAATAATTCCCAATCACGGCGGTATCCCCTTCCTTTTTCGGCTCCGTCAACTGTGGTTGCTGCTTGAGAAAATTGCGCAACTAGGCATACAGGAGCAGTCGCAGTGGATCCGACGCATATTCTCCAGGCCTCGCTGGTACAGTATACTCAGTTTCCAAAAAGCGTTGCGGGGATTAATTTTGACTTAAACATTATAATGTGAAACGGGGTTTTCGTATAGCACGATGTGTTATAAATGGGCGTTTTAACGATATTTTGTGGTTCCAAGTTTTCCGAGGACTGTTTTGCATCGGTATCGGCATACGTCGGGCGGAGGAATTAGTACAATGTACTTCCAGCCTTTCTGGCTTCGATTCACTCCATATCCGATTTGGTGTCCTCACTACTGCCTGGTCATGCTGTTGCTGATTTTTCTGTCGCTCTCGATTTGTGGAAAAAGAACGCACGTCTACCCGAACTGCCGGAACCGAATTTCCGCAGCCAGCAAAGAACCTGGGATATACCGCTATGCAACGTGTCTCTGTCTACGCTGCTGGAAGTTTACCGGAACGACGAAGTTAACAAAGCCCGGCTTCTTGCACAATCAAGGCCGGCCGGCATCTGGTTAAATGCGTTACCCTCCGCTCACATTGGCAACCTTTTGGACGATGACACTCTTAAAATTTCCGTAGGCCTGAGATTGGGTGTTGCAATATGCGAGCCTCATGATTGTATGAAGTGTCAAAAACATGTCGATAAATACGGGCACCACGGTCTATCTTGCGCATTCTCTGCCGGTAGACATCCACGACACGGCGGACTGAACAGCATCGTATGCCGATCTCTGGTGTCAGCTGGGATTCCGGCGAAACTGGAGCCACGTGGCACGTCGCATACGTCCGAACGACGCCCTGATGGCTGCACAACCTTCGCCTGGCAGAGAGGGATGTGCTTAGCATGGGACGTCACTTGTGTGGACACGGTTGCGCCTTCTCACGTCAAGTCTACGGCGGCCACCGCAGGTGCCGCAGCGGTGGAAGCGGAAGAAAAGAAGTCCCGGCTTTAGTTGTACCTAAGCGGCAGATACATCTTCGCCCCGATAGCTTTCGAAACAATGGGCCCATGGGGACCATCCGCTATCGCCTTTATTAAAGCACTGGGGAAAAAACTCGAGCAACACACAGGCGAAGCCCGTTTTCATGAGTTTTTACGCCAAAGACTGTCACTGGAGATACAGCGCGGCAACGCGGCATCGGTTATGGGAACGATGGAGGGAGCACAAAATTTTAATTAAATTTTGATGTTGTAAAAAAGAATGATGTTTTCAATTATTATAAAATTACGTTGTACCACAGGTGAAATAAAAAGAGATTAGCTGATAGCGTACCGGTATATTACGTCCGTAGTGCAGAGAATCGTACAGTTCATTGAGGTACGGGACCACCGCACGATTTGGACTGATGGCGCGGATGTTCCTGGTCATGATCATATATTTTGTAAGGTTGCCCTTTGACAGTAAACTTTGATAAAGCTGGTGGACCAGAACCACTTTGAACGATGGTCACTGGACTCCGGGGAGCATTGCGCGGGCAGAGTGGGCAGATTGCCATTGTCCGTTCGAAACTGATGCTTCCGGTGACGCATCTTGAGAAATGTGTAGTGGGTTGCAGTCCTCTGCTGGTTTTGCAGGAGGGCCAAAATTTCATAAAGATTTGCTTAAAATCGGATGATAAATTCTTTGTAAATAATTTGCTTGCATGACAGTACGGTACCGAGCGAAACAACAAGGACAACAAAATAACACAATTTCAATTTGCAACATGAGTGTATGTTCTTTCACGCCGTAGTGCTAACCGTACCGTGACTCGTGGATCATACATGGTACTGGCACTGTAGATTAACTGATGCGCTGACATATTGACTGACTGTAGTTCTCCATTTTACACTACGGTCACTACCTAGTACTCGTACCTACACAAGTCAATTTTTCCTGGAATGATTATTACAGATAACTGAAAACTATAAACTGCCACAAGTTAAGCGTGAGAACTGGCATCAGTACATACCAGAGCAACCGTTATTATCTGCTTGATCGTTTTCTGCTGCACGCTGGCAGTCTCTTCTCGGCGATTCGATCAGCTTAGTATTTTTACAGTAGCTGATCATGAATGCCAATTAAAACATATTAATTTTACTTATAATTTACGTGGCATATACTGCGAGAAGCAAAATGCGCCTTTTTTTCTACGCATTTGAAGGATCAGATAAAGCCTCGTGGGAAAGCTCACCCAATCAGCATGCGCAATTAAGGAAATACAGCAGTGACTCTATCTTAAGGTGGTGTGTTACGTTTTTTCTCGAGCAGAATATAAGGAAGAACCTTCTGCAGAAGAATGGAAGCTGAACCGGCAATAATTAACCTAACTGAATAATAATTATGTACTCTTGCTAGTGAGCAGATCCGGTTAGAACGACGCCAGGTGGCATTTGGTTTTCTTTTCCTTTTCATAAACGACAGTTCTATTGATATACTCGTATCTCTACATCATGGACCTTAATCATGATTATTAAATAATACGATCGAGCCACGGGAAACGCTGTTCATGTGCGCTGCTATGACCGGTATATCGCGCACCCACACTGAAAAAAATAAAAAAATCGATACTCGATCCCAGGCCAATAATTATTATACTAGGGTGGTATGGATTATTGCCATATTATGGTAGATCTCATGGGCCAGCTATCTGCTGTACGCTAATTGGGCACTGTGTGGCTCATGATGTTTCAGCAAACGGGAGCGGAAATACGGATTGCAGCTGCTCATTTTGGTGGTGCCTTGTACTGGTGGAATACAGTATATGAGCTCGATACCTGTGTTGCGTTTCCCCCGTTCTTATACTGAACCGTAACGCGTGGTTCAAAAACATCCGTTTTTTTCGCACAATGTTCGCCGCTGGGTTTCATACCTTCCAGGTGGCTGTATCGAATCGGCGATCCACACTATGCCGAATCAGCGATAATTTCTTGCCACGGAAATCGACATATTATGGTTTGGTATGGAACTTCTCCGTCCTACAACTGATGATGCTTGTGGTAATGCCTGTTGTGGTCGTATGTTTTCCACCAGGCAAGTATTTCTAGCCAATAGTAAACACGCTAAGAAATCTTTTGTACGGTACATGTCTACACGGCACATGTCATGTTAAAAGACCAATTTACATCGACTTATTTTCCTATTTTCCGCATATGTGGAGAATAATTCATAAATGTGCTGTTTGGAAAGCACTCTGTTCGGTCAAACCGTTAAATGCTTGTACAAATTTCGAAGTGCACACGATCAAGACTGTATCACCTGAAAATGTAGCATTAGGCAGGATTTTCTGCACTGTCCTCCGTGTAATCCGAAACCCCTTTATATGCGCATTTTGCATCGAAATTTTTCAGCAACTCTTAATTTTGCGCAAAAGGCCTTTCAAGTTAATATCTATCTATGTATGAATTTAATCCGCTGAGACGTGACTTTGGAGGAAAACAGCCCGGTCTAGTGTACAGCATTCAAAAGTCAATAAATGTCTTCGATGTAAATCTCTCTTCGGCTATGAAAGTCGTAAGTGTCACTCCAACGGGAAGCTGAGCGCTTTAATCTTGCAGGCAACACAGTGCGCAACGATCTAGCAATGGGATACGTATTCATCATATGGACGCTGCTTTATAATATCCTTGGAGTGATCGCCAGTCGCTGGGGCTATGAACACTGGCAACTAGGGTTGTACACTGGCGACCCTCAACAGATACCCAACCACCGAGCACCGGGCTTCAGGGTCGCAAAAGCCTACTTGGTTGGCATGATCATCAGCGTGTTGACTGCCCTGGGAACCATTCTGCAGACTGTTCTGCAAGGAGGACCGGAAGCCATGGTATGGTTATCGGTCACGGCCTACGCACTTCTCATTGTGGAAGGAGCGTGCATTGTAACCGTTGGCATTGCGCTGAGGAAAGATTGGCTGCCGACCGCCGTCATTGCTTTCTTCCACTGGCTCCATTGGGAGCGAGGTGAGTTTATTAAGGACTATTATGACTGGACGGTATTCCAAGCTTTCGTCAAGCAGTTGTTAGGATTGATAGCTTGGCCGCTGATGGTCCTGCGTAACCTACATGGTGAGAGCAAGTTGGCGCAAGTCAGTAAAGCGTAACGGAATTAAAATTACGAACGGATTTTTTAGAGCCCGAGAAAACCGGCCAAACAGTGTTTTGTGGGATGGTTTCCTCGGCATGGCTAGTTTTCTACAACGTAATCGGACTGTTCGGCTTAATAAAAGGTACCAGGCTAGCATCGCCGTCGGGACCACTCACCCACCAGTTTGATAATTCACGGGGACGGACGTTCTATCGTGTCTACACGGGCCTGATGAGTATCAGTGTACTATTGGCGATTAGTACTGTCATCAACGGCCTTATAGTAGCCGAAAGCACGGCCGTGAAATCAACCGGGAATAGTGAAGTTATAATGGGATCTGTCGTCCTTGGCGTTGAGCTGACCTTTTCTGCGCTGTCGCTATGCATCGGCGCATTAAGGTCACAGACCGCGATCGAAAGACGACAAGCAGCGGGGACCAGTCTTCCACGTCCTGCCGCGCCCCTCTCCCCATTGTTTCCACCGCATAATGCAATCGATGAACCGCCGGCTTGCAAGGCAGTGGTGTTGCGACACGAAGCGGATCTGCCTCCATCGTGCGCCGAGGCGACAAATGTTCCCAACGGTAGCCGCAGTAGCCGTTGGGTCGCTGCCTGGGCTCCTCTTGCCCATTGATACTCACCGTGAATGATAGAACCTTCTATTTCTGTGTTTAACTTGTAGATTTCGGTAAATTTTCCATTCTTAACGTCTCAGTGCATGACTTTTATTTATACTAAGACAAAAAAAATAAAATATCGCCTCAGTTAACCTCTGAAATTCGCACACTTGCTTCTTTCGGCTGTTGCAGCCGAGGATTACTGGCTTCATCACTTATAACATTCCTTGACTTTCGCACCTTGAGATGTAAATCATTGAGCAGATGATCCCGTAGTGTCACCTGATCCACACGGCTTCCCAGTTTTTAGACAGTCATTAGTCACATTCGATGAAATTTCTTTGCTAATCGCACGAAAGCGCAGTCTTTCTGACCATACCCTGCAGTAACAAGTGTAGTCTTTCGTGCTGCTTTTGACTGGATACGGCATTTCCGCTTTGTAACCGATCACATCATCACAGAATGATACAAACATGCTTCTCGGACATCTTCTGAATCATCGTAGTAGCCATAACTTGGTATTATACGCTAGGCAAGCATATTCCTCGGTATACTACAAGGCTTTGGGAGATGTACTACAAAGTCTACACTGAAGCTTGTTTCAGGGTTAGTTAGGTCGCTTCAAACGCCGGCGCGATTAGACTAAGATGGTTAACCGTAGCTCGCAATGCTGCTAGCATCAAGGCACACATGCAAAACCATACTACGCATAAAACAATAATGCAAAGCTATAAACTGTAACACTATGTTGGACAAAGCGCTAGTGGTCACAGGGTCATAGCAGCCTGTTCGGACAGGGTATGGACACATTACCCATCGGTCCTCGTAAATACAATTCGACTTAATCACCGGATTATCAAAACATGATAAAAACTCCCATGGACACGGGAACCCTTGTTTACGGCTGGTATACCAAAGCTGAACAGGTAGCAAAGGTCAGCTTTCAGATACCGGTATGCTAGTTCGACTCTGGTTTAAGAAGCGTTCCGTGTGTGTAGGCGCACGATCAGCGTCCGAATATTGCATTGTTTTTGTCCTGCTTTTACTGTCTGGCCGCACCGAACGCCAACTGTGGGTTGGTATGTGCCAGGCGTTATTCCCTTTGACTTATTCTGGTTGCAATTTTGTTCCCGGTTTAACAAATGTAGTATGTTAAATGTGACAATGCGCTTGATCTGAAGGATACTGAAGTGGCCTGCATAGTTGGAAAAAACTATCATCTTAGTTGCGGAGATGTCAAGGGAAAGTTAAGAAGAATCTTTCAAATATCAGTCTTGTGGACAGGCATAAACCTTCCCTGTCAACTTTGATTTCCGGTGTAAAAAGCGCATGCGCATTATGAATAATAGTTTCGGGCACATCATAAATTTTTATGTTGATTCTTATCTTTATCCTTCGACACCAGGATTCTTTTAAATTTTAGTTGACACTTTGGCCTGGCAACAGCTACGGTGTATGCTGTCACTGCTGTGCATTAGAGCATTTTTATGCCTGGTTTTTTCCCTACGTTATGTAATCACGATATGGTTTTTCTTTGCAGTTAAACAATCCATTGTATTCGTACTTTTTGTTTACTATAAAATTTTGTTGTGGATGCTACTAGCTTTCACGTCATTTAGTCGCTGACTAATAAAAATGATAAGTATTGCGGCAGATTGCCTGTATTCTGCGTGCGTCTGCTGCAAGAAGAATCGTCACTTGTGCCCGTTACGGATGTCCAAGCTATGCCGTCACCAGAGCCATATCAGTGTTAATGTGAAACATTTCTGCCAGATTGTCATTTTCCGACCATAAAAAGATTTTGATTTACTGAAGAATTTGTAGCAAATGAAAGCGCTAATTCCGAAACTGATTTACAACGAGCGATGTCTGAGGGATATGCTGTCTCTCTCGATGCTGTGTTTTGAGTTTAGTTTAAACATACTCGTACTTTGCTTTTATGCGTTTTTTTAAAATCACGCTTTATTTGGGCGGCATTTTGAATAGAAACGGAAAGATAATACGGAAGCCCATTAAGCGCGCCCAGTTAACTGATTAATTAGCTTAGAGATAAAGCTATAACAGCCGCTTTAACAATCTGTTGCTTTTTCGTTTCCATTGTGTACTCGTAATTCTTGTGTCATTCCTAACATCTTGCAGAGCTTGGCTAACACTCTTCATAACACGAGGTATTATATGAAAACAGAGTGCCCACATACGCACTTTGGTGCGACAAACTACGGGCGCAATCCACACTTAGAAAGAGAGAGTGCCCGACGAAGCTGGCAAACGCTGGTGTCACGTACCTCCCGATAATTGCGATCTCCCCTTCCTTTTTTGGCACCGTCAAGTGTGGCTGCCGCTTGAGGAAGTTGCGCAACCAGGCATAAGAGCAGTTACAGTGGAGACGACGCACTTTCTCTACGCCTCCCGGGTTCAGTATACTCATTGACCAACGATACGAATTAATTGGGTCGTTACGGTCATTAAATGACAGTAATTCATAACCAATTCCTCCCTCCAAAATCAAACTCCGCAGGTGCGGTAGGTCGGTGAAGGTGTACGGTTCTATTGTGTCGATGGTTGTCATGAAGAAGAATAACATGCGTACTTTCCGCATCCGCGCAAAATCGCGCTTCTTGATCACCAAATTCTTGCCGTCCTGCAGGCGTAACACGACCAGGTTCGGCAGCCATCCGGTAGCGTGGATTTTGTCGGTGGTAACCGGGGTGGCACACTTTGTCAACGTCAATTCAATTAGCTGATATCGTACCGGATCCATTACATCGTAATGTAGAGGATCTTCAGCGTCGGCTCGCTCAGTACAGTAAAGAACCACAGCATGATTTGGACTACGGGCGCGGATGTTATTGGTCGTGACGATGTCAGTAGTACGGAGTCCCGATTGACAATGCACTTCCAGATAACTGCCTGGATCGGTTTCATTTAGATTTTTGTTCCGAAAGAGATGCTGTACTGGTGACGCTGCTTGAGGAATGGGTGGCAGGTTGCAGTCCACTGGCGGCTTCGCAGGCGAGCCTAAATTTAATACAGACGGGCTTAATTACTGGACGCCATACGCTTTTGCCTCCAATTTACTTACATGACAGTGTGTTGCCGAGTGAAGCTAGAGCGATAAAATAATACAACGATTTCATTATGAAAAAGGAGGATGTTATACCGTAGCCTAAACAGTATCGCTGGGTCTGACTCGCAGTTACTATGCACTTTATACGCTCCGTATTTGCTATACAATAGGTTTGCCAGTTGTGATGCGCTGTCCATTAACTGGTAGTCCTTCATCTCACATTTCTAAGTTGATTTTACGTGGAATGATTATTACTGATAAGTCTAACAATCACAAGTTGAGCGTGAGAACTGGCATCTGCACACAAAATAACAGTCACTATCTGCCTGATCGTTTAGTATTGGCAGACAATGGCAGCCACACACTCACAGCAACATGCAGCCAGGCCTCTCTTTTCGGCGATATAATCAATCAATACAGTAGCAGACAAATAATATCCAATTACCACATGTTTTTAATTTTATCAGTGCCGACTACCCTTCCTAAAGCAACGATATAAAGATGCTGATATGCTCCCTGCCTTAGAAAAATCCAAACTAATAGAACCATTCTCCGAACACGACTACAGATTTTACGAGCACATATGAGACCGGCAAAAATTCTCATCCTGTCCGGCCCTGGACATTTTTGCCGTGCCCCCTTACCACCAGCGCCATAAATGTAACCCTTTGTCAGAATGGTGACACGGAGGACCTATTAAGGAAAGCTGAATTTAAGTTCAATCGGCGACCTTTTAAAAACTGCCTCCAACGTTACCAGAGCGTTGACAGCGCCAATCAGTTTAGAAAAGATTTCCGGGGGGATAGGAGGGACAGCTTTGCCTGCCACAAACGTATGCTTGCACGATTAGTTTGTATAGTAGCTTTTGCAAAATGCAGCAACTGCACGATAATTTGTAAATCAAACCCCGCAAAAATAATGTACATCATCCACAGCTTGTCGACGTAAGAAGATTATACATTGTTTTCTATTAATGGGATCACGTGATCCTGTGTTCCAGTATATATATATACCGTGGTCACGCCAAGTTTGCGGCACGGCATTCTGTTTTTTTGCCGATTAGTGTTGCGCATGATATCCGCAGTTTTTAAATTATTCCATTGCATGTTTTCTTGCGCATTTTCAGTATAAATTTGCTCGAATATTGTTGCGATGCCGCGTGAATTTCCAATTTTAATCCATAGTTGATTCCATAATAACGTTTTACTGAAACTAAAAAAGAATTCATGATTCCATACACCGTTTCAGAGCTGCCAGTACTTCCAGTATAGATACTGTCTGTACTGCCAGTACTTGGTGCCATACAAATATTGCAGCAACTTTTCAAGAATGATAGCACGGTGTATAGCACGAGGTATTATAGGAAAACAATGGACCGACACGAGCGCTCGCGTACGTTAGATTCCGGGCACAATCCACGCTAAGCCCAACGGGCCACACGGCATCCGTGTTAACCCATGGCGACATGTAGTTTCCGATAATCGCGAACTCGCCACTCCGTTTGTCGGCCATTAGAAACGGATGACGCGTGAGGAAGTTACGGAGCCAGACAAAGGAGCAGTCACAGTGCAGTCGTCGGACGGTATCAAAGTCGGCATAGCTTAACGGCGATGGGTTGGTACGCCAGCGCGGATCCGCCTCCTCAGATAGCATATACAGCTCCGCACCGAGTCCGTTCTCCAGCAACAAAGTCTTCAGAAGCGGCAAATCGGTGAAGGTATAGGGTTCCAACGCCGCGATTGTGGACAAGAAAAAGCTGATCCATTGAACCTGCTGCATCCGGGAGAAATCGCTTTTGTGGATGACCAAATTCCGGCAGAGTTGAAATTTCAGTGTCACCAGACTGGGCAGGGTACCAACATTGTAAAGCTTTGAGGTTATGGTCGGCGTGGCGCAGTTTATGTGCACCAGCTCGATCACCTGGTAGCGCACCGGGTTGATGACGTCATAATGCACCTGGTCATGCGCGTCCGTTCGTTCGTGCAGCGTAAGGATGACAGCGCGTTCCGGGCTAATAGCACTGATACTCGTGGTTAGTTGGCTGACAGCGGCACGATCGCTTGTCGGACAGCTGGCTGTGATGTATGTCCGGGATGTCGGATGCACTGAATCCTTGTCTTTTCTGAATTTGTCTTTACTTCCTTTTCTGACTTGTCTTGTCTGAATCCTTGTTTCTGGATAATCGTTGCAGTCTTCTTGCAGGGCGAAAATCCTGCAAATCGTAGCCCCGTTGTCGGACAAAGCAAGGTAATCCAGACATTCGGCGCGGGTCAGATTATCGGTGCGAAAGGAAGAATTCACCGGTGCAACTGGAACCACGGGGAAAATGGTAGTCGTTGATGGTTTGCTGCATTCTGATTCGTATTCATTTCCTGCATCTGAAAAATCAGATGAACGTCTTTGTAACAAAAAACCCAACACCGTAACAGCGCACGGATTTTCGAGTTTTGTGTTGCCGGAAGTGTTCGTTGGCTTTTACTTACCAGCGATGACTGCCACCAATGGAGTAAAAAGAAAAAATGTTAGCACACAAAATTTTAAACTCATGATGTCGGTTGGCTTTAAACAGCAGATCAAAACGTGCCCAAGCTTTGTGCAGTACTCTAGCGGTTGCAAACTACGGAAGTGAATTTATTACAGCTTACAGCAACACAAAGATCTACATATACACGGTATCTGTCTGCTGATCTGCTGGTTCTAACTGTAATCTGCCTTTATCTATCCTTTAAGCGACGCAATCATTACGGTATATCTCTTCAACTTTCTTTGCAGCCGTCTGAATACTAACTTGCTGCAGTCGGCGATGCTTTATGTTGACAGTGTATCAGCACAGCAATGAAACAAACCGAAACAGCTGATCAGCTTTTAAATGCGATTATACGAGGGTCGTTCAATATGTATTTAGCATTCTGGTTAAAAGTTTTAGTAAGCACTCACAGAATTATGATCTAACCTTTTGAAAACTGTAATATTCATAACTGGATCATAGGGCAATGGCCGGGGTGATACCGCCAACGGTTGGCGACTGGCATACGTTTGTTCACGGCTAGCCTGATTAAAAAGTCTTTTTCTGGAAAGTGTGACTGCCAAGCTATTATTTTTGAAAACTTTCTAGAGAAGTGGGGAAAGTTTTTTTTTGTGCTAAATTATTAGCCCTCTTCCCTGATTAGTGCCATTGCGCAACACTATTGCGGACGGGTTCCTGTGATTCTGCTCCGAGCACTTCGTTTTCTCATCTGAAGGACCACTTTCGGCTCTCTCCATTTTGAAAAACAACGTGAAAATGAAATCCGTGATCAGAAGAATCTCATATGAGTAAGAAAAAAACAGCAGGTGAACTGAAGATTTTATGAGAACAGTGTTGAGTGTAGGCTGCAGCACCTCGCTGAGAAATTTTAAAATTGACGATGGTACAAATAACTATTCCATATGGTGTTAACGCGCACATTTAGCCTTCCACCACTAAACTGATTTTTTTCTCAGCCTCAAGCTAACGCATCCTTAGACATCCAATTTACTGACATACCTTAATCTTTTTAAGCTCAAAAAATTTTTTAGTTTTGAAGAAAGTTCTGCGTAGCAAAAGTTAAAAAAAGACAAAGAACTGAAGGAAAGTTGCCATAGGCTATCTTTTCTTTAACGTGCAACTTTTTTGTCGATTCGTTTCAAGAGCCAGGGTATAGACAACTGCAGAGTGTACTGACTGAAAAAATATATTTTACGATAATAGAGAAACAAAAATAATGCAGTGGAAGAGGCGCGGCAGTGCTAAATACATATTGAACGACCCTCGTACAACTGTTTTATTAATAAACGAAAAACACAACTCAAAACTTCCGTTTTTGGTTACTGGTTACATGCAGATTTTTTTGTCACTATGCCGGCGCATTTCTTTAAATGGTCATCGGTCACCTCCCATGCTACGCGCTACTTGAGTAACCGCCGATCGCCAACGCGTTTGCAGTTTGGTTTGCAGTTTCTAGTTCCACTTGCTTTTCTTGTGATAACCTGTTGGTATAGTTTGTCAATTGAATTCCACCGGCAATGTTGTTTATTAATAAAAACGAATTATTCTACGTTCATCTCATGCATTTCCCAAAGTGTACTTGATACAGTTGCTAGTACGAGTAAACAACTTTGTACTTAGCAATGTCCATAGCAGGACATGTTAAAAGAAAATAATTCACCCTCATGCGCAGCCTTGTACGTCAAATTATGTGCGCAATCCACGCTGAGAAATAGAAGGGGAAGGGCAAAAACTCCCAACGAGACATAACTCCCGATCACAGCGAATTCTTCTGGCTGTTTTTCAGCCGTCAACTCCCGATGGCGCTTGAAGTAATTGCGGAGCCAGGCATAGGTACAATCACAGTGGATGCGGTGTATTTGCTCTACGCCTTCAGAGTACAGTTGCACTTTTCCGAGTTCAGATAAAAATGGATTGTCGCGGAGCTCCGGATGTTCTTAGGTACCCCGTACCTATATAATTTTAAGGGGATCCCAGGCAGTAAAAAGCGGGTTTGGGAAAACGGGAATGGTTTGAAAACGATGGCCAGATACATGTTTTCACCACTTTGACTGAACGCAGAGACGATTTTGTTTTTTAAACTGGGCAAATTTTTTTCTTGAATGATAATCCCATATTCTGATTTTCAGCTTTTTTTCAGCTTAATTTTTTTCAGTTAATTTTCAGCTTTCAGGTAATAATTTACAGAACGTATATTCGGCGTTGTCAATTGCGAACAAGATGCACAATAGGTGTACTATACGGCCAGCGGCCCGCCTGCCCACGCTCGCGTGCCTGTCTTGGCGTCAGATCGCGAGATGAATTCTGTAATGTGTTTAGTGAATAAGTGTAAGTGATTAGTCAAATTCAGCACCGGTACTGACGAGTGACGACAGTACACAAGTAAACTAGGAAAGTGCACTCGCTTTTTGCGGGCACTGCATGACCGAAGCGTGGCAGGATTATACGATTGACGTATATAAGTAGTACTAATATAGAAAGCGCAATTTCAGTTGCATGGTAGTTTGCTTTCTGTAAAGGAGCATAAAAATTATGAAATGGATGTAGAGTATACGCATGTGACCGGCAGAACTGTACAGATGGATGAAACTATAGTTACCTATTAAAATACCACCTCCGTAAATCTTGGCTGACTATTTTTTACTGTTGTTAATGTACTCGCTAGCGTACGGTTTTGTCGAGGTGCAGCGTAAGTTCCTTTGTACCAGAAACTTGGTACGGCAGTGCAGCGATCTCTACGTAACCTTTAAAACGGAACTTATGATCCCACGAACAATGATCCCTTTATGAATTGTTGAGTGTTTTTTTTTATTTTTAATCGTAATGTCCGAATGGTAGCCCTTGTGGCCATCTCGGTGCGGTCACGAAACAGCCTAAAATCCACATTCCCAGGGAATACTTTCATCTGACGAAAAAGTTCCCGTTTTCGTAATAGTGACAGGGTTGACAATGCATATTTTTCTCAGACACACCCGTGTATTTTGAAAACTGTCCGTTCACGCTCTCAAACGTTTTGTGTAACATTGCTATGCTAGGAATTTTATTGGTGCAAAATAATGTAAAATATTGTAGGCGGCAAAAGTTTCGGGGAATGTTTTCCTGGACCGGCGAACGGTTTTGGCGGTTTAAACAGGGTCATTTAGCAGCAAATTATTGTATCCGCCCGATTGACTTGCACCACATTGTGGCGTACGGAAAAACTCAAGCACAGCATTAAACATGCACACTTGGCTCGAAAATTCAAGCTCACAGTCAGTTCAGTGTGTACACACAGTGTACACTGCACACACACGTGCAGCTCTATCGGGCGACGTTGCGACGCGCTACATTTAAAATGTGCAATTTTCGTTTATTCTTCGTGCGGAAATTCATTAAACGAAAAGCAGCTCCTCCAGTGTTTTCGTGGAGGGCATTGGAGCCCGCTGAAAGTTTTGTGATGCGCCCGATGAATGGTTTCGATTCGCTTCGAGTCTGCAATACGACATGGACCAGCGTTGACAAACACCGCATCTTCCGAATACGTACTGGGAAATTTCATTACTCGTACTTATATATAGCCAGTAAAGCAGAAGGTTTAAGGGTATGGCGTACCAAATACCTCACCCCCGTAAACGTAAAACACTAATACTAAAACGTAAAACACTATAACGTAAAACGTAAAACACTAAAACGTAAAACCGTAAAACGTAAAACACAATACCGTAAAACTCAGAACTCAGAATCGTAAACCTCAGAACTCAGAATCATAGAACTTGAAACTGTAAACCATGAAACATGAAATCGTGGTTTTCGTGGACTGGAAAAATTTTTCACTTTTCAGATTTCCCATTCCACAAGAAAAGCAAAAATAAACGGTAGTTCCACCAACGCCAATCCAATCCAAAATCACCGCCCAACTCCAATAATTAAGTAGAATTCCATTAATATTATTGGAATTGGCATTGTGGAATTGGAACTCTTAAAAGTGAAAAAATGTCTTAAGTCCACGAAAACCACGATTTCATGTTACATGGTTTACAGTTTCAAGTTCTACCATTCTGAGTTCTGAGGTTTACGATTCTGAGTTTTACGGTATTGTGTTTTACGTTTTACGGTTTTACGTTTTACGTTTTACGTTTTAGTGTTTTACGTTTTAGTGTTTTAGTGTTTTACATACGTTTTACGTTTTAGTGTTTTACGTGTTAGTGTTCTGAGTTTTAAGTTTTAAGGTTTACGGGGGTGAGGTATTTGGTACGCCATATAAGGGGCGGCACTTCAGGATTTACTGGAGCCGTTGGTCACTACGCTCATGCAAGGAGTCATGTCGATGTATTTCATTCGGTACCAAAACACCAGTGTACAAATGCATTTGGTAGTAGTGACCCGTGGACAGACATCACGAGGTATAGTGTTATGAGTTACACGGCAACCGAAAATGTGTGCACTCAGTATCAAACACCCCTGTGTATCGTATTTTCGAATTTAAGGCCTCCTCTAAAACCGAAACATCCTCCATCGTATAAGCCTCCCCCACTTTAGTTCGAAAATTTGGTAGCCTCATCCGCATTAGAGGCCTCCCTCAATATAAGGAATAAAGCAATAACGCCACTTTAAAGGCTTCTAAAATTTAAAAGCCTCCTTCATCATACAAGCCTTCTCTGCGGTATAAGCCTCTCCCGGGCACCTTTGAAAATTTAAAATTCTTAGGCTTCTATTCGAAAAATACGATATATGGCATTTGGTGGCGATATATGGCGGTGACCGACGGACAGGCATCTTGAGTTACAAGTGGTCTGAGTATATACCGCCACCGCGCGTGTGTGCATTTGATACCAAACGCCCTAGTGCACCTGTGCATTTAGTGGCGGTGACCGATGGACAGACATCACTTTTTTCATTAGCGCTGAACATAGAGGACCTTCGCCACGCTTCGGTTAATAATTGTTATCCTTCTGATCTTTTACATCTGATATTCGTTAGTCCATGGAATCCTTTGGGCAATTTAATCAGTCCGTGCAAGATAGTTATAGAAACAAAAACATTTGCTAGAACTTGCTAATAAAGTCGTCTGCAAATCTGTGCCGATCTCGCTTCAGCGAGGTAATCACGGAATCAGAATTAACAGCGAAACAGTTATGGCGATACTGTCAATAAAAGTCAAAAACAGATAGGAAAACATACTTACTTCTATTCGAGGCGACGTGATTCTTCTTTTTTAAATCGTCTGCACTCCCCTCTCTTTTGGGCAAGTTAGTTATTTCGTATAGTAATTATCAACAGAAATATTTGTGAATACTTTCTAATGGCATCTCCATGTAACATGGTATAAAATATTTAACATCCTGCCCGGTGAAAGCCTCTAGAGTACGGTATTAGCCAGACATTCGTTTTGGTTAAGGCGTCCCGGTCCCGTTGGAACAATTTGAGGAATGTAGGGCGGTGGATAGCAGCCATCCTCTTGCTGCATTCCGGGCGAGCCCAAAATTCATTAAAAAAATGTGCTTGAATGTCTAAGGCTGTGCTTTTTCTTTGACAGATAGATCGCCGCGTCCACCGGTTGCCTTTGTGTGTCATTTCCGGTACGGTTAACACTTTGTAGAGACGTAATTGTGTAGATAAAATCAAAACAGTTTCATCAAAAAATGATTAAATCACTGATAAAACCAAGCCTGTAAACAGATGCTTACATTGCTGTATACTGCGCGTCTGCGCCTGCGCCATACTATGAAAGCATCCGCATTAGCAGGCGTAGTACGTACCCTTTTGTACAACATATACTGTTGTTAAATTTTTACACGCAGGGGTTCGTTCATGTAGGTTCAGCTGTGCTTATGGTACTGAAATAAATTCATTGTTATAGCAGTCGATGTTGATGACATTTTTGATTTTCCAAGTATGTCGGCAAACTCATTCCTGTATGCAGCTGTTCTACTGCAAGTTCTTGCATACGCTATTGCCGACGACTACTTTGATGGCCCAGAAAACGACGATGTCCACGATGGTACTTCTGTCTTTAATCGTTAATGTGCTGGATATGGCGAATCCTGTAAAGAAAGAATAAACAGTGGAAATTGTGACTATAGACATATTTTATGTTGAACACTACCTGGTTGACCTTAGTTATGACGTTTTGCAGACTGGGAAAGCCGGGTGGATCAAGCGACACTACGGGATCATTTGCTGCATCTCAATGTGCGAAAGCCAATAAATGATGATATCCTATATGGAGATGGAGCCAGCAGTATCTCGTCAACAGCAGCAGCAAATCCCAGCCGAAGTATGTTCAAACGATAGACAACTGTCCACTTAGCTAGTATTCATTTATTCTTCGACAAAAGCTTAGGTAATGACTAATCGGCAGTGCGTTAGGGGATGTGACCCACCATAAAATGCCAAAGTTGTGTACGTACATCCCTGGTAGCTTCCGCTTTCGGCAACCGCTTAATGAATTTTAATCCGCATAATTAAACGAATACATTGTCCCAGAAACCGTTCGTGCGCTGCAGCATCCGATTTGGGGTTTGAACATGTGAGTTCAAAGTGCGAAGTTCAAACGGTTTAAACGCACACAGTTGTCCCTAAAATCACTTTATGGATCGATGATCGATCTCCTTAAAATTTTGCACGCAAACACACGTGGATATGAAAATCGCTGTACACCTAATTGAAGTTCTTGTATATTTATAAAATTTGAAAATGAATACTTATATTTTTTATGAAATTTCAAAATGAATATTATCTGCAAAATTTTGACGGTTTTTGGGCAAATGTATGGAAATCGTTTCATACGCAGCCCAAATGCAAAAAGGTTTTCGCGAGTTCGCAAAAAGAACGTTCCAGTGCACGAGCATTTATTTGCTACCACGTACCTATACAAAGAACTTCTCTTGAAGGTTTAAGCAGTGCCGCTCTACATTAGTATAGCTATACAGGCCTGCTACTGATCATAAAACCCTGATGGGCGGAGCCTAGCTGCTCCGGAAAATAGCATAGATGTCTACGGAAAAATTCAGTTAAAGCCGAACCTTTTGGCTTTAATTTGGTCATTTGCACATTTGGTTGGTTCTGACAGATAGAGAAAGTCTGTGCGGTCAGAACCATATGGATTTGGTTTGTTAAATCTAACTCGTCGCGGAAAAAAAACAGGTATTAAACAAGCCCAGCGGAAATGGGTGTTCGATGTGGGCAACCAGACATTTTAGCGCCAAGAATACGATAGCGCACACAATGAAGCCAGTCGTATGGGCAAGAGAGAAAGCGCGCACATGCCATGGGCTTTCGATAGCATGCCAATTAAACTACAACAGTGAACGTTCTAATTACCAAATTCGGCCGCGTTTGGCATTTAGAAAGAAGACGAAATTCTACAGGTGATGGTGGTGTTTAAAGTTTGAAAAGTGTGGAAAGTTTAGAACCAAGAGCGTTTATGCGAGCGAGAAAATTTCCCTACGGAAGCTTAACATAGGCGTTCTCTCTGTTCCCTTTCTCCGTCTCCGGATTAGCTCAGAAAGTTTACGATCAGTAGCAGGCCTGTATAGCTACGCCAGTAGACTATACTACTGTAGAGCGGCACTGGTTTAAGTCATACTCGTATGGTCGTTTAAGTGAAACACTATGTTAAGTGAATGGGCGATGGTCGTTTAAGTGAAACACCCGAAATATTTCATTCCACAAACCGATTTCCTTCTGGTTTTCTTTTTTACCGATAGAGCTAGGTGTGCTCTTCACATAGTACTTGAAATTATTTAAAAAACTTGAATCGTTTTCTTGCAATTGCGTCGGTAAAAAAACAGTGACGACACGCTTAAGCCACGCCACCCGAGCCACTGCACTACACCATGATAATCACAGTCACTACCTCACATATGCGGCTGCGCCATTCAGTTCAGATTTGTTTGTTTTAAATGTGAATTATTTCTTTGTTTCTCAAAATTATGCTTTCTGGAGTGTGATACTTAATGAATAAACAGTAATATGGAGAAACGTATAATATCAGCTTGTACTGACGTCAAAGAGAAAGGGCTTTCGCTGAGGGAAGCTGCTAGCGTGCACGCTGTGATTTTTAATATTATGATTTATGCTATGATTTTTAATATTAATCTGTGATTCCACTAACCGGTGATTTGATTACTCGCAAAAGTTTTGTTGTTACCGTTGATTCAGGATTTTATAAGTACAATGAATATTTTATTGAATTAGCTGCTCTGGCGCAACACTGTCTTCGTATTTAAGTATTGTGTACATGTGCCGTCTACAAGGGATGGCGCAGCCGCACATGTGAGGCAGTGACTGTAATTATCATGGTGTAGTGCAGTGGCTCGGGTGGCGTGGCTTAAGCGTGTCGTCACTGTTTTTTTACCGACGCAATTGCAAGAAAACGATTCAAGTTTTTTAAATAATTTCAAGTACTATGTGAAGAGCACACCTAGCTCTATCGGGTAAAAAAAGAAAACCAGAAGGAAATCGGTTTGTGGAATGAAATATTTCGGGTGTTTCACTTAAACGACCATCGCCCATTCACTTAACATAGTGTTTCACTTAAACGACCATACGAGTAGTATATACAGTACATTTCCTCTGGAGTGCCGCACCTGTGCGGCGTCATTGCAGATTTCCTGCCCGTTTTCTTAAAAGTTTGTAATAACCGCTATGTTGTGCTGGTAAACGTTAATTATGATGTTTATTCAACAAGCCCGAACTTTCTTATTTTTAGCATGGAAAACATTTCTTAACGCGGTATTGTTAATTGCGGCACATTAGTGCAATTTTATTGTTAATACTAATAATTTTGCCATCAAAAGCTGTTAGTGTTTTATTCGGAAACGGTGCACTGAATGTAGAGTTAGGGTTTTTCGGTTATAGAAACGGTTTTTTGGGACATTTATCCGATTATAGAGTAGATTATGATATCCGATTGCCGGATAAAAACAAGATATTCATGAGAAAATAAACAAATTCGGATAAAGATTTGGATTAGGGTAATCTCAAAAACTGTCGGGTAAGATCAGGACAAAGAAACGGAAATCCAACCCGATGCCCATCTCTATACTGTGGTATTATATGTACGTTTAAACAAAAAAATTAAGAATTATCTACTGTAAATTTAGAACCGGCCAATGTGACCGGGTAAGTCTTCTTTAATTTATTCCAATCACTGCAAGTAAGAATTTTCCGGCTGCCACTCCAATAAATGTTCCTTCATGTTCAATACTCAAAATTCTCGTTCATCATTTGGGATGGATCGTTTGACTGGAAATGTAAACTGTCAAGGAGATTTGAAGACTGTGTGATTTAAAAACTGACTTTTTTAATCTCTTTATCATAGAGAACGGATCGAACACTTTGTGGCCATACGGACGACTTCCTTATATAATAAGCGACGAATATGGTAAAACCGCAAAATTAAGATTCAAGTTAACAAATGGTAATACAGTATACGCCGCAACGACAAACAGCATGAATACGTGTGCTGGCTCAATCTTCGACGGAAAAATATTCTGTTGTCAAGTTGGGAACAACGCCGCTTTTTATCAGTACGTACTTTTTCAGATGTGAATAGCAAATTAATGATCAAAGAAGCCATGGATTGAAATTGAACACCAGGTTCCCGTTAACTGCATTACGTTTACGGAACGAACAAACGAAGCTAACTATCTACACTTCCAGCCTCCGCCAAAGTAAGTGCCCTAAATTCCTAATGGATACCTAGTACCTACTCTAATGGTAAGCTCTAAAGCGTGTAGTATGCTCTCGTACTGTGAGCAAATATGAACCGCTAACAGCATTTCGGCGCGTGGTGACGAGGTAACTGATCCGAGGGAATAAATAAAAATTGCAGTCGATTTTAATGGGCACAGTGTGTTTCCACTTGTCACATTATGACAAAATCCTGAGTAGTGCTGCAGCCAGTACACTAGGTACAGCATACTGCTTGATGTGTACGGTCACTACGGTGTTATTGCGCCATTGTTTTGGGTCTTTGCGTACTCTGCTTTTGCACAGGGAATAGATTGTCGTATTCTGGAGTAATTGTTTCATCGAAAGCATTAGGCAAGATAAATTTTCGGTGCGGAAGTTTTGACGCGAATACATAAGTGAATTTAATTACTGGCCATAACTGCAACTCTGATCTAACGAACACCAAACATCGCACACGACAGCAGTGCCAGTCAGAGCACCCAGCTTTCCGAATTCTATTCCTTGATCCTGTTAAAAGCAGAAAATACTCTGCAAGAGGAAAATTGACGGGAAAATTTTCAAAGGGAGTACTTCGATTTATTTCATATCTCGGTCACTTTATTTATACAGTTTCGTATTTCGGTCACCGTGTAGTTAAATTTCCTTTCAAAACGAAATTCAGAGAAATGATTACACATAGTTTTCATAAAAACGATTTCTCTCATTAAATTTGAACGTAAAAATACATAATTTTTTTATGAAAAACCTAACAAATAACAAAAACTCTGAACCGGGAGAAACGCGATAACCCGGTCTTTCACGTCTATAAAATCTCAACAAATGAAATTATTGGGCCCGAAACGTGAGGGTTGGGTGAACTTGCTGAGCGAACTGCATACTGACGGGTGGCTACAGGCAACTGTGCGATCAACAGCTATTCAGGTTGCAAATTTACGGACCCTGGAGAGGCGAAACGGAAAAGCTCGTGGAGAAGGTTGGCAACGGCATAGATTCCGCCACAGGCCAGAAACGGGCGAAGGAGTTTTTTAGACAGCGGTTATCTATCCAAATGCAACGGGGAAATGCGATATGTGTCATGGGGACGATCCCCGAACAGGATAGCAATGAAGAAGTGTTTTTGTTATGAATTTTGTTTCCGTAGTTAGACTTGTATGTGATGCATATTAAAAGTGTGGCACTCAAAGTGACCGGAGTATGAAATAAAGCGAAGTTTTTTATTTATAAAACCTGAATTCAAAATTCAGTCCGCTCATACTACAGCATTAAAGACAATAGTGCAGCCCAATATTATAGCGTGAAAGAGAATAAACGATTCAAGAGACATTATTTAAGTATTGAAAATGAAAGAAAACTGCTCGCTCTGAGCACCCTTTAGTCTCTAACGTAAAGCGCTGCTGCACCGGTTTTACGGCTCCATTGTTTGAAATTGTTAAGGATGTAAAATTGCAGGACAAATTTGGGCGTTAGCGGTTGTTCGTCCTATGTGGGAATGTGGGGCGGAGAGCAGCAAGTTTACTTGGATCCAGAAGAATGCATGACGACAGGAATCATACAACACGAAATCCTTCATGCTCTCGGCCTTCACCACGAACACAGTCGACCGGATCGGAATGCCAGTATAACAGTTCAGTGGGAGAATATTCAAGAAAACCGGAAAACAAATTTTCGCGTAATTCCCGAAATGCGAACATTCGGAACGGAATACGATCTTGATTCACTCATGCATTATGGATTGTATGATTTTTCCCGATCCATAGCTGATCGCCTGGCCGTTATCGTACCGAAGCATGGAAGCGGGCACCGATTAGGGCAGCGGAAGGGACTCAGTGTGCGCGATATCGCGAAGCTGCGGAACGCCTACAACTGCCAGCCGCGGCGAGACGGACTATACGATCCTAATTTGATTGATCTACCGAATTTTTCCGCGGATCCACTACCATACGACGCGTGCATGCTGCAGTTTAATCAGCAGTGTAGCCGGTTCGATGATTCACCCGAAGAGTGCAGAAATATAACACATGCCGGATTAGTCATCAACTGTAAAGGAGACTACGCCCCCGTGCGCAGCATGGCTCAAGCCATGGGACAATACGGAATGTACGCCATCTGGGTGCTATTGCGGGAGAGATTGATAGAGTACGATTGTAGCCGGCAGAAAGGTTGACAGGCTCACGGCTCACGCATCAAACCCTTTTGCCGGCAAAAAAGTTTGTTAACTTTTTTGACGGGCGAATTGGCTCACGGTTGGTAAACCGTAAAAATACGTGTTACGAGAGCCGGTACCTAGGTCTATTGTAAATAACCATTGTTAACCATTAAACGATGTTTTCGACTAATCTTCAAGATACTGTAGTCTGCAGAATATAAGTGCAGTCCGTTGTCCAATACTCCTAGTGCAAAACAGTTTTCGCAAACATTATTCATTACGCAATGTTTTTGGAAACGATCTCTAGTTGGAAACGAGCCGCAAAACCGGTTTGGTTGTGAAAGCAATGGCTGAATGCAATGTAGAAAAGTCGCCCGGTGAGGAAAATCTAAGAAATCAAATAGATAAAAATGCTGCTACTTTTTGTTCGTGTTTTCGTAGTCCAGTACGGTCACAAGGGTGTCAGGCAGGTTGGTTGACAATAACTATGTAAGCCTGCGTGCCAGGCAGGATGGCTCACGTTCGTGAGCAATTACGCCGGGCAGGATTGCTCACGTATAATTAGGATTTAACTATCCAAACCGAATAAAGAAACTAGTCAACAACTGCGTTAATTAATGTGATGACTGACAGATATGGATGACTACTTGCATGTTAAAATCCGTGGTGAGCGAGTGCCGGTAATGGGATGGGAAACCGAGAAGAAGGCCAGAGCGGACAGATGTCGCCGTTTCGATTAGGAGGTCGAAGACGCGCGCCCATTGCTCCCCCTAGCCTTCCTTCTGGCCACTTGCCCCCAAACAAGACGTTCCGTACAGGTTTACTTGACTGGGATTGGTCTTTCGGATGTAGCGACGCACACAGGTGCTCTTCCACCGTCCGGCTCGCATGATATCCGGCTCAGGAATGTTTCCTTTGGCTGCGGTAGTGGCTGCTCCAATGCGAAAGCTGTGCGTGTTTAGGCGGTCGCGTTCGGGGTGGCCCCAGAGCAGCTTCCGGATGTGGTGCAGCACGGATGCTCGTGTGAGGTGTTGACCCGAGCGAAAGGAGAAGAATGGACTGTCCGCGCGGGCTTTGGTGGTGCGGCTATGGATGTAGCGTTCGTATGCTCGCACCGGACAAACCGAGCGGTTAGTTGCAGTCAAGCGAAGTACAACGCCACTTCCAAGTTGGTCGGTTTTTGAACGTTTGATGTGCACTGTAATGGCCTCGTCTTCCGTCTCCACGTCGCGCGACAGCAGAGTGCGGTGGCGGTCATGAGACGTCGGTGATGGTGAGACGAGCTCGCTTATGCGCATGAAACCGAAGAATGCCATGGTGAAGGCACACCACAGCATACTGATATTGGAGACGTCCAGTGCACTGAGACGCAGGCGGTCCTTCAGTTTGCGCATCAGTGGCATGGTGATCGGAAGTCGTTTGTCTGATTTGGACGCTGACAGTCGGACGAAGCCACTGATCGTGCGCTTGACGATGTCGGCGTTGGCTGGGCTATCAGCATCGGCTTCGCGATGCAGGTTGTGGATGGCGGCCACGTAGACTTTGGCGGTGCTTACGCTAGCGCCTCCATCGTGTAGGCTGGCGATAAACCGGGCCACGGTAGTTGGCTCCGCTGGCAGTGGTGTAAGACGGCGAGCAGTGCAGAAGTTGATGAAGCGCGTTGCTCCTACCCGGTATGTGGACCGTGTGGATGTTGCGATGTGGGCTTCCAGGAGACGGCTCAGCGATGGGGATGCTCGTAGGTTAGGCGGAGATCGTTGAAGATATTCGGGCACGGCGTTGGAAGTGTATCCGCTAGCGGTGCAAAACGTCGAAAACGCAATACCTGGAAACGAGATAGTGCATCAGCTATGCCGTTGTCCACGCCTTTAACATGTTTGAGCGTAAAGGTCATGTTGTTATCCGCGGCTGCAGCCGTCATGCGACGCATGAGATCTAACACGCCTGGATTCTTTGACCGAAGACTCTCCCACGCTCGTGTTGCGCCTTCGTTGTCGGTGTGGAAGATGATCTTCCAGCACCACAACCGCTTCCCCCAAACAAGCATTGCTAATAGAATCGGAACCATTTCGAGGTATTCAATGGGAACCGATAGCTCGTGAATCCAAGACGGCCAACGCTGATGGAACCATTCACCATTGAAGTACGCTCCCAGACCGATTGTGCCGGAAGCATCCGTGTACAGGTGGAAGATGTCGGAGGTGCTCCACGATGGCTTTATGAAGGAGGCGGTCCCGTTCCACTTCGGGAGGAAGGTGCGCCACCAGTCAATGTCGCGGTGAAAGTCCGTATTGATGTATATCGTGCGTTGGCCATGTTGTTCTGACAAAAGTCGGATGAGCCGGCGGGTGAAAAGCCGGCTGGTGGGGACACATTTTGATGCAAATTGCAGTGTGCCGATCAAGCTTTGGTGCTCTGATGCACTGCATTGTGTGCGGTTTGACCAAGACTGAAGGGCGTCTAGGATCTCTTGGTGCTTACCGGGAGGTAAACTTACTGTGTGGGCAACAGTGTCTAGGACAATGCCGAGGAATGTCAACCGAGTTGCGGGTCCTTCGGTTTTGTCTTCGGCGAGAGGAACCCCAAGCTCGTTGCACGTCTCGCGCATTGAATGCATTAGCGTTGCACACTGTCCCGTTCTCGGGCGGCCGAGGAACAAGAAGTCGTCAACGTAATGCAAGAATGATGACAAGCCGCAGCTTCTGGAGACCGCCCAGTAGACGGCCTCCGCGAACTGTTCGAAAAGGTAGGGAGCTGAGCGACACCCAAATGGCAAAACTATGTCGAAATAGTAATTACCGTCATGGCAGTATCCAAGGAGGTTCCAATCTTCTCGGCGGACGGGAATGAGGCGGAAGGCGGATTTGATGTCCATCTTTGCCATTTCTGTAGACGGTCCGAGGTCAAGGATGATCCGAATGGCATCGTCGACGGAGCAGTACTGCAGTGGCATGTTGTCCGTTGAGATGGAATCATTGACGCTTTGACCCACTGGTTGTGATAGATCCATGATGGTTCGGATGTCCCCGTCTTTCTTTTCGCGGACGCCCAAGGCGTTTACGACAAAGTTTTCCAGAGGCGGTTGCGTGAATGGGCCGGCAGTGTGTCCCCGGGCGACCTCTTTCTGGATGCTGGTTCCCAGAGCGCGGTGGTGTTTCCGGGCTGTGTGTGAGTTGGGAGTGTGGCGGGAAAACTGTGGTCCGCGGTAGCCAAGATCGACGTCGGTTATTAAGGAAGAAACAATAAAAGAAACAAAACGTGGGTTAGGATGGTCAGCCAGCAGTCTCGCAAAGGCCTCTGGTCGCAGGGGTGTCGTGACCTTTGCTGGCACTGTGGCGATGTCAGTTGGCGTTGCGACACTGCGGAGCCTTGTGGCCGGCCCCTCCACAGATGAGGCAGACGTGCTTGAACTGCCGCTTACATGGCTCGGTGCAGTTGGTGAAGTTGTAGTTCTTGCAGATATTGTTGCCGTCTGCGGCGGTGCTTGTCCGAAAGGGCTGCTGTTGGTGACCCGGGAATCCTTTGCGTGGTACCGGGCACTGCGCGATGAAATGACCACTGGATCCGCAGTTTCTGCAGGTGTCGCGCTCGTTGGGGGCCCTCTGGTTCCGGTCGCGCACGTGGAGTTCCGACGTCGCTTCCCGGTGACCGTTTTGGCTGGTGTCGGCGTAGGTGTCGTCGTGCTGGTGTCCCCATAGATCAAAGTTGTATGGGGGAGCCGTCATGTACGTTCGGAACTGCTTGTCGTAATCAAGCCATTGATCTACTGGGATACCACGGTCGGCGTATCCAGCCATCAAGTCTTGATACTTCAGAAGAGGAATGGTCAGTTCAGGAATGACAGACGTCCGATATGCAGCGAATACGGTAAAAGCGCGGATCCATGCCGGAAATGAGTCTACTGTGACGTGTCCATCATGCGGTTTCAAAATGACATGACCTTTGCTGATCACCATTTTCGATGCTCCGTCCCTAGGCTTCTCCACCCGATTCTTTGGCAGGAGGCTGTCAAAGTCGACATATCGGGTCGGATCCAGCAGTTTGGAGCGGACTTTCTCGGGTACAGCCGGCAGATGGCGTGATTGACGATAGTGGGTATCTGCCAAGTCACCCAGTCTGCTGAATACGTCACGGCGGCCAAGTCTGTCTTTAAAAGTGCGGCGAGGGGGAGAGTCTTCGGAACGTGAGCTGGATTGCGAGTGCTCTTACCTCGATCGTTGCGGTGTCTTCCATGGCTTCTGGAGCGTTTCCGGTGTGGTCGCGGGTTGCTCTCGCTCGTAATATGACGCTGGTCATTGTCCCCGATGCGGACCCGGAGATGTGGACCCGTGTCCGATGACGGGGACATACGAGCGTCCGGGTGGGGATTCAGCATTTGCAATATGCTGTCGATCTGCTGCTGCTGCTTTGCCTGCTGCTCAATCAGGGTTCTGATGTCTGACTGCTGTGATGCCGGCAGTACAACCTGAACCTCCGAGTTGACGGCAGGCGGTGGCGGTGTTCCGGGTATTAAGCTTTGTCGTGGCAGCGCCTGCGGCGGGGGTTGGGTTGAGGATGTGCAAGATACTGTCCAATTGTTGCTGCTGCTTGGCCTGCTGCTCAATCAGAATTCTCAAGTCTGGCTGCTGAGATGCCGGTTGCACAACGTGAACTACTGAGTTGACGGCAGGTGGCGGTGGTGTCGCAGGCCTCCCGCGTTTTCTCGGTGGCCGGCTGGCTGGTGGTGCGGGATTGTTCTTGGGATCCTTCTTCGGTGGCATTGTGGGGTAGTTGGATGCGGGGAGATAATTTTTGAAGAGGAGATTATGGAAAGGTCACTCGTATCAGTTGTCAGTTTAGCACACGCACGCACCGCTGTTCAAGCACGTAAACAGAAAAACTGCACACGTTAACAGTCGTCAGTTTAGCAAAATATTCAAGTTTAGCTAGTGGCAATAATCGAGAATGAGTTCTGCATTCAGTCAGCTTAGCATGATAAGAACATCGTATCCGGGAAAGTAATATAATAGGTCAGCAACACAAAGACAGCCAGAGAGCAAAAACAGGTCACCCGGATTTTAACTCTAGTTAATGAATTAACTAACACTTTAATTTTCTAGCATTTTGTTTTACTTGTATCCCCAGTATCTCCCACAGTATCCTGCCGCATACAGCTTTGAGGCTTGTAAATACTTGCGGTATCCCGGTGTATCTTAGCGTATCTTTACTGTAAGAGATGAGTATCTTTCAAGTATCCCTTTGGTTTCCTAGTGAAATACTTTCGGGAAGATAAAAGGATACTGCAGAGATACGTTGGGATATGGCAGTGACAAAACATTCAAGGCAACACATGACCGGAAAAATTAACGTGTAGTAACCGTGCCATAGTTCATAATCGAAGCCAATGGCACTTGAATGCACCGTTTTTTTTTCTTCTGTTTCATATACAAATTAAAAGTAATAATTTTTATCTCGCACTAACGGTAACTGCGAGATAAAAATAATAAGTAACCATTATCTTGAAATCCAGTTTTGTGCTGTCAGCTCAGTGTTTACGTAGAGATAACACAAACCTCGTATGTGATCGTGAGCCATTTTGCCGACCAAGTTGGCTCACAAACGTGAGCCATCCTGCCCGGCACACAGGCTCACGAACGTGAGCCATCCTGCCCGGCACACAGGCTCAGGAACGTGAGTCATCCTGCCCGGCACACAGGCTCAGGAATGTGAGCCATCCAATACCTGCTTAATGCTGGTTTAGATCTACAGTATTTGATGGCGTTTGGTTTTAATTTAGGATTTCAAAGAAGTACAATTATTTCGACCAATAATATTTTCGGTGTCAGCATATAATTAAATAAAGTATAAAACCTCACTTGACCACCCGCTCATACAAATCATAAAATAAAGATTTTGTGCTAATCGCGTAATCGTGCTTAGAATTGTCTTACCTGGGTGACTGTTGTTTTATGCAGTGATCCATAAACTGGCATTTTGTATTACAGTTTAGTACTGTTTTCGATACTTACTGTGGTGTGTAGCATCCCTTCAACGGTATCGTTGATGTGACTTCTAACCCGATTTTAAATTCACTGCTAATGTTCGCTTCCATAAAATCTGCGCTAACAATAATTTTTACGAAAGCTATGTTCGTACCACTAGAAGTACTGTACCCGCTAGATGAAGTGAGACCACAGAGTCTGGTGTACGGAAAAATGCAAGCCCAATATATGTACTTTGCTCCATGCCAAAATGTTTTTGATTTCCCTCTGCTGCTACCAACATTTGAAAGGTTTTACTGTTCTTTGCTATTTTATAATTTTTTGCAACGAAAGATATTTGTTTTAAAAGCACAATGACACAGCTCTGATAGTTTTCTATTTGTAAATCTGATTTGTTGTGGTTTCTGGGGTGCCCCTGGCAGGGGCAGCACAATACTAAATGCAATGCAAAGTGTGCGCCGCCCGGTGGGAGGAAGGCTCGTGCTCAATGCCTGACGAGTGGAAGGCAGCGCCCGGATCTAACAGTGGTCTCACTTCATCTAGCGGCTACAGTACTGCACAATGGAACGTGTCTTAGATCTTATACCCACAATATTTTGAAGATCAGTTGAAAGCATTGGTTAATGGTAATCAATGGTCATTTGCAAAATACCTATGCACTTTGCAGTTTGCAGTAGGTACCAGCTACCGTAACAAGCAGTTTTACCAACTGTGAGCCATTTCGCCCGTCAAATAAGTTAACAAACCTTTTTGCCGGCAAAAGGTTTGATGCGTGAGCCGTGAGCCTGTCAACCTTTCTGCCGGCTACATACGATGACCTTCAATTCATAGCTAACCAGGTCGTGCATCTGTCCATAAAATCCTGTAAATCACGAAGCGTAGCTAGCAAACTACCCAGCCTGAGTTTTACTAATCTCTTGTCACTGGATTTTTCTGGATGTAAGCAACTGTTGATCCGGAAAGCGGATTTTCACAGTTCCGAGAAACTGCGGACGATAAATTTTCTGGACTGCACTTTCTCGCATCTGGAAGAAGGCACTTTCGGCAACTTACTGAATCTAAAGGTCATAGCATGGCACGCTTGGTATGAACAGGGAAACACTGCGCTGGCCGATGACTTATTTTCTCCCGACATGAATCAGCTCATACAGGATATTCACTGCTCATCTGAATACGCCTGGCTTCGACAATGGCGGAAAACGAAGAAGTTGCTACAGAACGATGTAGGCAGAAACCAGTTGTACAAACTTCCAATGTCATGGGGAAACTGGGAGTTCAAGCAGAAAAATATTTTTATACCCATTGACTGTGCTGCAAAGCCGTTCCCGAAAGGATTGCACATGATTGACTTCAATCAGACTGAATGAGCCGAATTTTCCCGGAATGAGCCGAAGTGTACTGGAAAGAAAAGCAAAGTTACTCTGGAAAGCGCGAAGAAAGGGCTCATTTTTCTGCAGCCTGCCACGTCACCTCTAAAAGCCCAAGAATGTGCACAACAGATTACGGAAAAGTGTTCGCCCCATCCTCGTCTAAGAACGCCACTGGACTGTTTCAAATACGGCGCCCGGTCTCTTTTTGCCAGGCAGTATTATTCTATGACATGCACTAGCAATATTACCATGCGGGAGCTGCAAGAACTATCTTCACAGTTATCGAGGCCGCGCGTGCGTGCTATCCGCGTGACACTATACGATGGAAGTTCTATTGTCTATCGAGCGTTTTCTCCCATTCAGCATCAGGTAATTCATTTTCAGCTCAGCAACTGCACTACGTCACGCGCGACAAGTAAATTAGTTTTCCTGGATTTTATCAACCTGGTAGAATTAGACTTCACTGTATGGTAGAATTAGACTTCACTGTATGGACCTCGTGGTGCGGCCGCACGATTTGCCACCGTATCGGGTCTTCAACGTCTCATGTTTCGATTTTCTACCATTTCCGAATTAACCAAATTCACATTCAGCAGTCTCCCGAGTTTGGCTGTTTTATCGCTAGAATTCGACATGCACAGCGATATTCATTCATTGACGGACGGAATGCAGTCGTACTTGTACCGCCTACACTGCGAATGCGAGTTCTCTGAATTTCGCTCGTGGTGGAAAACGCAAGTTGATGTGGCAGGTCCCGATAATTTATTATCCTAACCTAGCGTGTGCTCATCGCGGAGTACCAGACTCCGGCTTCGTGGTCATTCCCATTACCAATATGTTCAATCAAAGCAGTGCAATGTGTTATGAAAAGAAGCAGCTTTATCTGTCAGTTGACTGCAGCGTGGAGCCGAATCGCAAGAGTGGAATGCAGATAAATTTCCATCAAAAGGAATTCTCTTTGAATGAAACCGGTAACTGCAGTGCAACCGCAGGTTCAACCCCACTAGGCGACAGTATCATGGATAATACAAACAGTTCAAGCGTTTTCCTGCCTGAAGAGGAAGAGAAGAATGGTCTGTCTTCGGCAACCATTTACAAACAAGGTAAGCGTGGGTAAATGTGGGAGTACATGTACATGTATGGCAAGGTGGAAGTGCGTGCTTGTGGATCGGCCGCGGCTTGCATACAGTGCGAAAAAGATGATTAGCCGCAGTATTCGTCCTCTAGCCTGGCAAGCGGCGATAAGGCCGACCACATAATTTCCGATTTATAATCCATCACAGTATTTATACTCTAAAGTAGTAACTGCTTGACAGAATATTAAAAAATCTAAGCAGTCCTCTAAAATAGACTGATTCGAATGATTGAGTATCTATCAGAAAAAAGACGAATAATTTCCATTTATCGCATCGGTACTCGTACTCGGAATCACACGGGATAGACGTGCATCTCAAACCTGAACGTTTGTTCTAACTTACCGTACATGTATTTACTTTTATGAGTGCAGATGGGCCGTTAATGTTTTTATGGTGATAACTACAGATACAGTAGAACTGAGCTGTTTTGCCCATTCCGTTTGGTATAATACTCCACATATCACATAATCCAATGAAATATGAATCGAACTGCAGTCTTGTATTGTACCCGCGCGAGTTTAACTGTTTAAGGGACAGAAAGTTGCCCCAGACCGCCCGCACTAGGCGTCGGCTTCTTAGACATCAAAGAAACCGACGTCTAGTGCGGGCGGTCCAGGGGAATTTACTGTCTTTTAAACTCGCGCGGGTACAGTACACAAACACCGTTTTTTTTAAAATGCAGCTTCGAAATTTTGAACGTACGATGAAACATCAGAAAATTAGGTCGGATTCAGTAACTCTCACGACTTGAAGGTGGCGGCATAATACATTTATTATAAACCGCCACTGAGGGCGCAAACGATCACCCGATTGTTGTCAACAGGACAAGAAGGGCATACTGCTGTCGCAGTTGCCATGCTAGACAGACGACTTGCAAAGGTCACTAAAGGACAATGCATTCTCGTGACATCAGTGCCATCGCACTACGCCACAGTAACGTGGACTGTTAGAAGGCTATGCAAATTTTGCAGCCTAATGTACGGTAGGCACGTTCACTAAAGCGTACGCGGTGAAAGATGATTCAGGCACATTTACTAAATTTTGTTCAAAGCCAAAGCTATAGGTAGAGGTGAATGCTCTTTTATAATTTCATTTCCTTCCGCTTGGCAGAATTAAGTTCCCGTGTCCATGAACGTATCATTAAAGAGAAAAAGTCCGAGTTCACGGCGTCGGCTCAGGATCGAAGCGGAATGCTGTATCATTACGATGACCAGAAAGTTTCTCAATTTAACCATTCCACTACCGGGCATTTGGATGAATCGAATTACTGGCCTAATAACGGAAAACGCATTCCGTGGACTGTCAGCGACGAAATCGGCAAGTATTGAATAAGTACTCCGCGATTGAATTTAACACCACGGTGACAGAAACTGTTCCAGTACTGTATTATTATTAACTAACAAAATCTTTTTAAGAGAAAATTTGTTGCCAGATAACAGCCTCTTAACGACTAGCCGGTGGCGTGATTCTGTCGAAAGACCACTTCCTTCGTGAGCACTGTATAAGTTAGGGTACGCGAGTATCGCAGCAACGTGTAGGTAGTTTCCAGTAGAGGCACTGGTTCGTTAGGTATGTCACATCAACCGAAGGAGCTAAAGCCTGCGCGAAAAACTTTGCGCGCTTATAGGAGTTAGGTGGCCCTTTGCCGGGCCCGCGCTCAAGCTCTGACTCTGACTCAGACTCTGACCGCTCAAACTCTGACTCTGACTACTCAAAGTCTGACTCTGACTGTCCAAACTCTGACTCTGACTCTGACTGAATAACCTAACCTAAGAATAACCTAAGAAACCTAAGAAAACTAAGAAACCAAAGAAACCTAAGAAACCTAAGAAACCTAAGATACCTAAGAAACCTAAGAAACCTAAGAAACCTAAGAAACCTGAGAAACCTAAGAAACCTAAGAAACCTAAGAAACCTAAGAAACCTAAGAAACCTAAGAATAACCTAAGAATAGCCTAAGAATAACCAGAGAAACCTAAGAAGCCTAAGAAACCTTAGAAACCTAAGAAACCTATTAAGAAACCTAAGAAACCTTCAGAGTCAGAGTCAGACTTTGAGCGGTCAGAGTCAGACTTTGAGTAGTCAGAGTCAGAGTTTGAGTAGTCAGAATCAGAGTCAGAGTCAGAGTTGGAGTCTAGGCCCCTTTGCCGGACGGGCTAGTATTTTCTCTTATGATTACTGTTCCCTAGGTCAGCCAGATAAGGAAATTATTCACGACGCTGTGCAAGCTATCCAAACCCAGACTTTCCATTGCATTACCTTTACTCAACGGACACTGGAACATGATTTCATATCGTTTGAACTCGGACGCAGGTACGTCGGCCCTGCATTGTGAAAACAGTCGGTTCTACTTACTTTACATTACAAATGGCCGCTCACTAAGGCTGTTTCCCCGTTTAGATGCGAATCGCATGTTGGCAGACAAGGCGGCCGACAAAAGGTTACGCTCACACCAGCATGCATGGTGCGTGGCGTCTTGATGCATTTAATTATGCACTCACTCGGCTTCTTTCACGAACATCACAGAACCGATCGTGATCAATTTCTGAACATCTACAAAAACCACACTGCGATGGATGTTCCGGAGGACACGTTTCGGGTTCTGAGCGCAATGCCGCTGCACGGAACGGAATACGATCTGGATTCCATTCTGCATTACGGAGCGTACGATTTATCCAATCAAACGGACGCAGATTATCCTGTTTTCGTCCCAAAAACAAGGAAAAAGGTGAAAATGGGCCAAAGACAACTTCTCAGCGACAAAGACATCGTAAAACTGCACACAGCGTATAATTGTACGGTGGACGAAAAAGAGAGATTTATGGGAATCATGCCGGAATTTACGATGGCCAACAAAACGGCTGATCAATGCTCGAGATTAAGCAGGTTGGGGTGCTCAGAAAATCCTGTCACTGAAACATGCATGAACGATCGGCGTTTTGCAGTCCTCTGCTCACACAACACATCCACACGACAAATAAAAGATCTAGTGACATTAACAACAGAAAAGCCCCTGCGTGCGGTGACCTTGGCACTGGGCTACAATCTAGTATATCCTAAGCCCTACCTGTTTTGGCCGGTTAGCAAACAAGTTATACAATTCGTAATGGAAGAGTGTACCTGGCATGCTAATGCGACTAGAATCTTCCCTGCACTGCGCTTCGCCAATCTGCTACACCTTGGCGTAAAACACTGCTTCTGCCTTGTGCTGCAGCGTAGCGATTTCGCCGGATGGAAGAAGCTGGTCATGGTGGAGTTTGTCGGCGGTACCATTTGGTCCATGGAGCCGGGGACCTTTACTAACCTACCTGCTTTGAAAATCCTTAATGTAGAGAAGGAGCCCCTGGGGGTGCTACAACGTCAGCAATATCCGTATCTCGTCAGGCAACACTTCCGCGAGTTTGTCTACAGAATACACTGCGCTTGCGAGTTTGCCCATTTTCGAGCATGGAGGAAGAGCAACAAGAACCTGCAATCAACAGGCCGCCCTGGAGAAATCTATCATGTGCAGGGAATAATTGTAAATCGGGATATTACTCCGGAGACGTACCAAATGTATATCCCCGTCAACTGCAGCATGCTGCACTTCCTCCAGATACCGGATCGAGTTAATTTCTCGCAAACAGTGTTCGGTGAATGAAAAAGCGTGCAAGGAAGGAGATGGCTTGCCACCCGTCAGTTCTAATTTATTTCCGCCAGGAGAACGGCTGACTGAGTGTTACTGTCCACCACGATTGTGTGAGCCGTACAGTGGATGATAAAAATAAGTTAAAATCGGCCGGTCGGTGTGCGGTCGTGTATCAAGTATCATCTACCTATTTTTTGTCGTGCATATCAAGTTCGATGTTCCGGTTGTTCAATAACAACAGCTATAGATTTTGAAATGCTGGTTTTAAAAAATTGGGATGCCGGTGTTGCATCGAGTCCAGCTGTTGAACTGGCATTCTGAGGACCTCAGAATGCCAGTTCAACAACTGAATCGATAACACATCTAATACGTGTGATGTTTGATGATAAAGGCGTCATTCTAGCGAATGAACGTTCCCCCCTAGTATATAAATAAAACAAAATAAATTATCCCTCCCCCCTAAATATATACAGTGACGAGCGATATGATAGGCCCTAGCAACCACATCGAACGGCACAGTATAATTATATAGTCAGTCCTAGCCGCGCTGTGACCTTGGAAGTAGAAGAGATGGCGAATGCAGTTGCTACTGCCGCCGCTGGGAAATTGCAAAACGGCATTGTAAACTTGTGACGAAATATGTGCCAAATTAATTGTGTTGTTATCAGTTTTATGCATCTTTCGTTCTATTTGGTTTAACGTATTTGCTGATTTTTCATAAAATGTGATTACAAAATTTGTTACTGTTGTCCGATATTTAAAATTTTTATTCCGGAAATCCACTCCAGAACGGCAGTGCAGCTATACATAAGACTATGACTGGCATAATTTGTTACTATACAAAGAATATGTACTGTACCTCTTGTTTACAGTGTTGACCGGATCCCTCAACAGGCTTGCAGTCGTTTATGTTAAAGTTGTTATAATATGTTTACGATGATAAATTACGGTAAAGTCGAAGTCGAACAAAATACTGGAAAGAGTAAGAAAGGTCGGCGTACAATATGATGCAGGTACACCGGTAACTGTGAAAAACAAAATGTTGTGCTTAAAAATCAAAATAATGACGTAAATATTACAAAGATAAACTGAAGACGTGGACGGCATTTGGCGACAGCGGTAACTAGTAATTTATCGAGGTAAATATTTAGTAATGTGTATATTCGCCAATAAACACGTGATTACCTTCCGCCTCATTTAACTAACATGGAGTCCAAAAGAGTGAGAAAAGAATGTCAAGTCGACCAAGTTTAACTGACACGACTATTCCTTAAGCAACTGAAAAATTAGATATTCGTTCGTTGTAAATGATCTGCCAGTGAATTGGAAAACTGTCATAGCACATATAATATTATCATGAAAACTGAACTTCGTTTTCGGACGAGGAGTTTTGATAACTACTGTAGCAACAGGGTCGAAATTCCCCCCTTTAAAACCTTTTGAAATGCCACCCCTTGCACAGAATGCAGCTTAACGTATGTAATTCCAGATATAAAAATTAACACGGTGTATTGCACGATGTGTTGTAGGAAAACAGTTTCCCCATACGCGCGCTCTCGTACGACAAATTCCGGGCACAATCCACACTGAGAACATCGGGCCAAAAGGGATCCGTATTAACAAATGCCGTCATATAGTTCCCAATAATGGCTACCTCGCCTTTTCGCTTGCTGGCCGTCAAATCCGGTTTGTGTTTGAGGAAGTTGCGGAACCAGGAGAAGGAGCAGTCACAGTGAAAACGGTGCACTTTCGCAATGTCCGCGTCGGTCAGTTTACCCAACAGCTCACGACGAATTTCATCAGGATCTTCATGAATTTTGTAGAGTTCATACCCAATTCCGCTCTCCAACACCAGACTAGCCAAATGCAGTAAATCGCTAAAAGTGTACGGTTCCATCGCTGCGATGGTGCATAACTGGAAAGTGATCATCCGCACTTGCGAAACAAGCGAAAAATCGCGCTTCCTAATAACCATATTGGAGCATTCATCCAAGCGCAACGTTACCACATTTGGCAACAGCCCGGCCTCGTAGATTTTGTTGGTGGTGGTCGGGGTGACGCACTTCAGTATCGTCAACTCAATTAGGTGATGACGCACTGGGTCAAAAACATCGTAATGTAGAGGATCGTCCGCATTTTCTCTTTCCTTAAGTGCTAACGTCACAGCGCGGTTTGGACTGATTAGGCTAATGTTTTTGGTCAATTGAGTAAAGAATGCTCGATTCTCCCAGGAGCAACCGCCTTCCAGATAGGTTCTGGACATTGAATGGAGTAATAAGGCGTCTTTCGCTTCCTCATTGCATTGCCTCGCCAGTAGGACTGGACTGCACAGAGTCGCGTTACGGCGTAAAGCGACGTACGTCAGGCATTCTGTTTTGGTCAGTTTGTCTGTGCGGAAGGCGAACTGTACCGGGTGAGCTAAAGCGTTGGAGGAGTCATCGGGTTTTGATTGCTGGTGGCAGTCTACTTCCAAATCTTCAGCTTGACCTATTTTTTAGAAACAAATGTTGTCATTGTGCTATAGATATATCATTCATTATATTTGCTTGTCGGATTTCTTTACCTGGCGACGAAGCCGCTAGCGAAGCGATGACCGTAAAGAACTGAAATGCCTTCATGTTGGAAAATGATTTGCCGGTGAGGTTGCTTTAACACCGCTTACTACTTTCGGGTCTCTCCTTCATTCAAGTGCTTTTTGCATTCAAGCCTCGATGAGCTATCGGCAAAATCTTTAGTTGCAGTACGAGTGTAATGTATCAGAGGTCCGCTTAAAACAGGCAGCATAATTATTCTTTAGCGTGTGAACTGGCGATAGTATTTCCAGTTTACAGATCTTTGGACACTGACGGTTAATGTGTGCCGTGGGCGATGCAACCAGTTCTTATAATATTACTCGTAGCACCGCATAGCTTAACGTTTCTTTTCTAGCTGCTTTCGTGCTGTTCAAGAATGTCTACAGCTTCGTACAACACAGTACTCAGACTCGCTCAATTTTTGCTCGCCTGGGAGATGCATATACTACGGTATAAAGTCGGTTTGGACTTCTACTTCGTACAGACTAATGCGCACGAATGTTTTCCTCTTGCTGCCCCATAGTTCTACGGTAATAATATTTCTTCTTCAAACTTTACTCTCAACGGAGGACAATTTGTAAAACTTGTTAGATATAAACTGTTTCCGTTAGAAATATACTAATAAAATTGTATGGAAAATGTTAAGCAAAACAAGGCAGCGTGAATAAAACATGTTTTTATTGGGTTAATCACAACGAAACAGTTGTTAAAAAAAACATAAAAAACCAGAACTGTAAAAAAACTTTAAGCTTCTGCCCACAGTTTCGCATCTCTGCAAAAGACTAAATTGTGGCCCGTTGATGAATCGAAAAACTGTCGTGGAACTGCGTAAATTATTATCAGCAGCAAAAGAACTCATTCCAGATCGAATAGACTCCAGAAACGAAAGTACAACTCTTCCGATAGCTTTCAAATTCAAACGTTTAACTTCAATCAGAGAACAACTACTGACGCCATAACACGGAACTACCCTAGCCTTGTGCACAGCACAATGTGTTATGCGAAAAGAGGGGACCCACGTGCGCACTCTCGTACGTTGAGTTACGGGCACAGTCCATATGCAGCACAGATGGAAACAATTCCATCGTATTAAGAACTGGCGTTTGATAGCTCCCCACACTGGCCTCCTTTTTTTCTGGCCGTCAGATATTGTTTGCGTTTCAGAAAGTTGTGGAACCAGGCGTACGAGCAGTCGCAGTGGATGCGGCGCACTTCCTCGATGTCCGCTTCCGTCAGTGTGACCATTAATTTCCGGCTCTCTGGAGTCGCAAATCTCTTGAATCTGGACAATTCATAAATAATTCCCTCCTCCAGCACCAGACTATTCAGATGGACCAGATCGGGAGGGTATATGGCTCCAGCGTTTCGATGTTGACCATGCAGAAATTGACCACCATACTTGCGGGATGCGTTCAAAGTCACGCTTCATGATCACCATACTGAAGCAGTCTTCCATGCGCAATGTCACTAGATTCGGCAACTGCCTGGCATCGTAGAGTTCAGCGGTGGTGATCTTGGTGATGCATTGCTCTATCGACAACTCGATCACCTAATGCCGCACCGGTTCCATTACGTCATAGTGGAAAGGATCTACCTCATCCGCCAACTCTGCTACTTCCAAGGTCACAGCGCGGTCAGGACTGACTATCTTAATGTTCTGGGTTGCTTGAACAAAGAGTGTGCTGTTTGCCAACGAACACCGCGCCTTCAGAGGTTCGGGCCAGCAGCTGGACGCTGACGGCGAAAATCGAGTTCTCGTTACTTTCTTCCAGCAGTTGAACCGGACCGCAGCGAATTGTCTTCTTTGTAGGTAGAGCAAGATACGTTAAACACTCCGTTTTGGGCAGATTGCCCGTGGGAAAGACGAATTGTGCCGGTTCAGCTGTTGTTTCGGGAGAAATACTGAGTTGCGGTGCTTGGTGACAGTAGTATCTCCAGCTTCCCTGAAAAGATATTATAGTCGTTTTACGGCAGTCGGGGTTCTATTGGTTTTTTACCTGGAAGCGCAGCACACAACGCAGCGAAGGGGAACAGCAGCAGTTATAAGGTACAGCAACTGAACTGTCAGAAATTCTTGTGACTGCTGCTGTAGTAAAAAGACCGGAAGTGTTCCGCGCTTCTGTAACTCTCTTTCAGAAAACCCTTATTTATTGTGGTTCCAGCCTAGCGAGTCTTAGTGTAATTGCTCTGTGAGTTTGATAGAGTCCGGATTTTATTTCTTAGGTTTGTGGAAAACGCAGCCATATCTGTTTTATCTTTACACATTCTATGCTGATACGATTTATTCTATTCTGACAGTGTACACGTACGTACAGAGCTAATGTATGACATAATGTTTCTGTAAGTATTATTGCGAGCTAGAGATGGCAACGGCTGGCTTAATGGCTTATCGGCTGGCTGCGGCTGGCTAAAATAGCGAGCCGGCTCGAAAGTATCAGCTCACCTACCTGAGCCGGCTCTCGGCTCGGCTCTGAGCGCGAGCCGGCTAAGCCGGCTCCGAGCCGGCTTAGCCGATAGTTTTTTAGCGCGGGAAAACACAAGTACTTTTTCACTGAAAAGCACTTTTTCCTGTTCTCTTTTAAGCAAAAACTGTTTTTGATCAGTTTTTATTGGAAAAAGTGGTCTCCGAAACAAAAATTCAGAATTTTTTTATAAGATCATCGATTTTTCAAGTCTCTAAATCGGCTTTGAACGGGTCAAAAGAGCTAAAATTAAACTTTCCAACACATTTTCGCACACAATGCGCAAGCCGTTAGCCGACATCGGCTTACGGCTGGCTCGCGGCTGGCTGAGACTCCGAGCCGGCTCAATCGGCTCGGCTAGCATCGGCTACGGCTTCAATTTTGGGTCGAGCCGGCTCAGCCGAAGCCGGCTTAGCCGCGGCTCAAACGGCTTCGGCTGAGCCGTTGCCATCTCTATTGCGAGCAGACTTTGCCCATCTTCGACTTTTCCCATCCCCATCTGTCGTGCGCAACTCCCAGCCCATCTCCAACCACCCTAGTTCACCAGCCCTGTCCAGCTTTGAGGCCCCATTTTCGGCCCATTTTTAAAAAAATTTTCAGTACTGTAAATTGTTAAAGATTAAGCAAAGTGAAAAAATTAACGCGTAAAAATCAACCCGTAGCGCAGAAATTCCAGGCGAATTTAGAATCTTAAACAGCAAACAGCTCAAAATCCGCGCCGAGCGCGGACATTTTTTATTTTTTCGACTGAAAAGATGAATTTCCATGAGTTTTTAGCTAAGAAAATCATGAAAATTTTAGAAATTTATTTAAAAATCGTTTTTCTTGATCCCATCCCATCTTCCAACATTATCAGCCCATCTCAGCCCATCCGCTGCTTGTCTTCATCCCATCCCCATTTCATCTAAAAAAATGGGATGGGCTGGAAAAGATGGGGAAATTTTCAGCCCAACCAAAAGATGGGCAAAGTCTGATTGCGAGCAGTCTGCAGTGGTATGTATTAATTGCAAGGAGCAGTTGTTCACAGTACTTCGTACCTAAGTTTTACTGCCGTTGTAAGGCTAAACAATGCCGGCATGGCATTATGCGTGTATTATGCATGCTTGTACTGCACTAGAAAACTCGCACTACTGATATTCGTAGCCTTTTTATGTTTTTGTGGTGAATGCCGGTCAGTCGCGGTGCACCGCTCTTGTTTCAACCGCCGCGTTTAGAATAAAAAAAATTTGTTCGGATAAAATCCTAATTTTTTCCAGTATGAATGGCGAGGCGGTCTTTGGACTATTGAAAAATTAATTACTCTTATTTGAAAGGGATCATTCAAGTTGGCCTTCCTCGATACCGGTGTTCAAAAGTAATTAATGTTGTGTGTGGTAATGGGTTTGTTGAACTATAGACAGGGATGTTCCACCGGTCGAGTTCGAAAACTTAGTTTTCACTGAACGAAATGAGGTGCTGCAATTCAGATGGTGCGAGACACAAGAGCTTTAGTTCTATCGTCGCGAGTGTGCCGCGTAACACTTTCTTACTTCTGAAAATTCAGTACCGTTGTGCCAGTGTCTAGCGCGCTCGGTGAAAGTACCTTGTTTAGCTGCCATTTCTGCCTTCGGTTTGAAACTGTTTTACCACCGCACAGCTTATCACACTCGCGTGCGCTAAGCAAATTTACTCTAGCCTTCGGTGGAAAACCGAAAGTGCAGAATAAACGCAGATAGTAAACAAAAGAGATTAGAAACCAAACAGTATTACAAAAGCGGGTGGAGTGTATTCAGAGTCCGTACGCGCTCTGCAGTTGATGTCGGCGAATCGGCAATGAGTACCGAGTACACATACTATTAGATTGTAATATTAAGTACTCTTAATTGCATTTTATGCCGCAATCTCGTTTTTGCGGGCACTGCACGTCCCGTGGATCCTTCCACATGCCGAGCGTCGATGTCGAAGCCCCCCCATTGGATATTTTTTCAAAAGTTCTTCTCAGTGGGTCAAATAAGCGTCCAAGCAAAGTGTTTTAGGGAACAAGGTAGGACAAAATGATTTTTCCTTCGTTGTAACAAAAACTATTCTTAACCAGGTACAGATACATCAGCTACTTAATCCTAACACGCTAGCCATAGCCGTAATGTGCTTCATGAAAGCCGCTTGCGCAGAGTAATAACGACGTTTCTTTATTTTACGCCTAAGAAATACAGACTGTAGACAATACACTTGTACTAAACTTCTTCATTCACATGACACACGTACATCAACTTTTAACAATCTATTACATGTTTTTTTATCATGTAGCAAAAAATATCCCCATTCCAGAAAACATATTAATATAAAGTTGCTCTGCAGGCAGCGCGCAGATTACACTAGCAATGACCCTGAAATATGCAGCCTGGATGCACGGCAACGCCATCCGGCATTCCAACAACTGGAACACTACGTACACGGAGACATCAGCGGTGCTGCGTCTGGGCAGTGGCAGTCGGACCGGTGTTGTCCACCTTCCGGTGCCGGCGCCCGTGATCATCGATGATAGACGCCTGCGTTTTATGTCGGTGCTGCTGCGTTACCGGTCACGCGGCGGAGCCACCGTCACCGGCTTAAGTGTCTACGACGGAGAACGCTGTGTGACCAGCGCCTGTCTCAGCCACCAAGCGGCCAACTACGACTGCATCCGGGTGGAAGTCAAGGACCAACCGCAAGTCTTGTGGGGACCCAGTCTGACGGTGCGCATTGATTTCGGGAATAACAGTGATGCGGCGGTGGAGATCGTCTCGGCTGGAATTGATTTTAGGTGGTAATTTTACACCAGTTCCTAGTTTACTGGTTTACCAATAAACACACATTATGTACAATATTGTTTGTATGTTGTCGCCGTACCGCTTGACTCGGCATTTCAGATAAAGTTTGCTTATGCGGAGCAGGCAACTTACTGGTCATTGATAAGCGATAACTCACTTCCTTATAATTCGGTTAATATACGATACAGCACTAATACTACAGTATTGTGGCTGGTAATGAATAAATATTACAAATTTTATGTATGATTGTGCGAACTAACGAACTCTGGTTCGCTAATTCCCGTGGGCTCATGTTACTAATGCGTTTCCATCACGGGATAAAAACGTCGTTTTGGCTGATCCGACTTATCCCCAATATTTATCGTGGCAGCGTGAGTAGAATCAACTTTCTTCATACTAGTACAATTGGCGGCTAAAAGATTCTGTTTCGTCGTGACTATGTATACTTCGATAAGCGCTAGACGTTAACGTTACAGATAAAAAGCAGCGCGCTTAGACCGCACTCATTGTTCCTGCACTTCAAACACCAATCCAGCGGTACCGACACAATCATCGTTTGTTCGAAGACAAACAGAATTTGATAAAGATACAAAGCGACGGCAAAATGGTGGTTGCCATACGGTGCCGACTCTACCTGTCTTACTTCGTTTTACCAGCAACCCACGACTATGAGTGCTCAGTGAGCTTTGAATTCTTACCATCTTTTGCTCGGTTATGGCTGCTTTTGTTTGTCTTTTCATCTGTTACGGAATTGGTCGAAATTTTTATTTGGCAGTCGTAAACTGGGTTGTTTACTAAACACTGTGACACTCTTCATTGCCGACAATGCCGTATCGAGTCACGGTTATACCATATTTGGAGAAAGGTACCGAATACCCGATGATTTTTTACAGCCAGCTTGTAAGACGGTGGTTACCGGTATTTGCAATGGTATAAACATTTAGGTCACTTTTCATCCCAGTTTAAATTTTCGAAATCAGTATGTGAAACGGCGAACCCCACAGAACGTATCCGCTTAGCGGTAGTTAGCATTACCATCTGCAGGAAGAAATGTGCATTAATTTGGTGTTGAGGCCCTCTTGCTTCGCTCCGTAAAGTGCTCTGCAAGCTAAAGTGCGATTTCAGTTTAGATAAACTAGCCAACAGAATCGAATTTAAAGGTACTTTTTAAGTTAAACGAGCTCCCTGCGTTTCTTTAAGATGCAGAACATCCATACAGCTTAGGACAAAAAAGACGCATAATCCCACCCACAGCAGTCCGAACGCATGCAGCGCAGTGCGCTGTACGGCTCAGCTAAAATATCCGGTTGTCGTACAAGTGCACTTGCCACGTGCGTACGGATATCTGGGTGTGGGGTTATGCGTCTTTTTTGTCCTAAGCTGTAACTTTATACGCAGCTACAAACACTATAAGCTGAAAACAAACGTGTTACAGAGCACTTTAAGGCATGCATCAAGAGGGCCTAATACATGAACACTGTACGAGGATGCACGCAGTCAAACCGACAGTACAGTTTTTCAGCGAGACCAACCGACAACCGTGCATACAGTGCAAGCGACTGCCAACCAACCACGGATGGCTGTCACCTGTTCCCCGCATACAGTGCAAACGATACCTCCCTTTCACGGGTGACTGTTATGTGAAAAAATAATTTGCCTGGTGCGCGTGGTTGTCGGTTGGTCTGACTGAAAACATTTACAGTACTGTCGATTTGACTGCGTGCATCCTCGTACAGTACGAGTCGTTAAAGAGACTAGTCGGTGAAATAACGAATAACCACTCGTGTTCTATAGCCATCGGACGCATCGACGAGTATAACAGCTCAGTGTCCCGGGTAACAACATCCACAATACCCCCCATAGCAGCAGGCTCCGCCGCGACGGAGATAGGCAACGGGTCCATTACCGTCATTGTCATTGCCTCCTTTATTTTGGGATGCTGTCTGGTCGGGTTAGTGGCCGTGGGTTGCCGGCACATTTTCTGTCGGCGCCAGACAACCGTTAAACACCGCCGCTTTCCGTCCATTTCCAAAACGAACTCCTCCGCGGATTATGTTGTATGCTTTCCTCAGGATTGACACGTGGCCAGTTGCAAATTTGTTGTAACTGTTTTCATAAAACTAACAAAAATGTAAGAGTTTTGCACCAAGGCGGATGTGAATGATGACTGATCAGAATAGAAAGTATCTATGTTGTATGCGTGCTAGTGAAAAGATTGGTTGTCGGGAATTACCTTTGTCAGGTTCTTAAAGCAGCCACGGTCATGAGATTCCTCACTGGGTCAGTTTTTGGTTACGAAATCACTATTGCGACCCCTTTTCACCCCCGTTTTATATAGCCACCCGTATCCACACCCCGTTAAATACAGGCACCCTTTTTTACAATCAGCTGAATAAGACCACCCAGTTTTGGGTTATTATAGGCACTCTTCTCATTGCCCATTTTTATGCATCTATTTTTACTCGTAGGTATATATAAATTATATATTTCACCGATGCGATAGAAGTTCATAAACTGATCTTATTTACGACCTTTCCAGCAGGCAGAATGACAATATCAACTAAAACGTTTGGATCTTTGATATGAATTTCGTTGAGTACTGTACGTGGTCCAGTATTTCAACCTCAGCTCTGCAACCTCGGTGCGTTATTTCCGCTTTGATACGAATGTTGCAATATCATCAACACTCAACAGCAATACCTTGCCCGTTTCACTTCCCATTCGAAGTTGTACGGTTGTTATACCTGTAGCGACATCCGGACTGATAGTTATTGATCCATTGTTTTTTCTCCACTGAGCTTACAGCTATCCGTCGATTTTCTGGAATCTTCTTCCAATCTTTCCTGAATGAGCGGGTAGTTGTGACCCACAACCGTGGCGTTAATGCTTAGAACTTTCGTACGCGCACTAAATTACGCATTTCGACTACAGTATCGAACAGCTACATTGCGCATGTATTAACCGCCAAAAAGGCGCCTATAAAATACTGACTGTCTGTCCTCTTTAAGGAAATTAATTACTTAAAAAAGAGTGACGTTGTAACGGGGTGTGGAAAAAGGGTGACTATAAAAACAGGGGTGTATGGAGTGGCTATAGTGTCACACATTTAATTAAACCTTGCATTTCTTCAATTTTCTTGGTGCCGATAGCAGCTGATAAAATAGATGTTATGACATTCACCGAATATTCTATTTGTATATTACCCGGCGCGCATACTTCCTTGAGCACTGCTGTGTATGTTGTTTCAAGCACAGCCCGCAGATTTCTCGTCACGATTTCTCAAAATAATGTCCCTTACGCTATTGTGAGTATTGTAGCCGTACAAATGAGATCTGTAGTGAAGATGTCCATCTCATTGGTGCTAGTTCAACCGGAAACATCTGGATGTGTACTTGTACGAAATGATCAGTTCAACATGGATTTTCTAGACTTCCGAGATTGTCTGAATGTTCTGAAATCATTCTTGCTCTTGCCCTTGCCCTTGCTCTTCCCCAATGACTTTTCAGCTGATTAAAAATGTTTGTGCACTTTGACAATCGCGCCGGTATCGGTTAACATGTTCGCAATTGCATAATTGATTTTCGGGTAATTCGCTAACTCGTAACATCACCGACGGTCACCGACGAACCATCAAACCTCGTTTTATGATGGTACGGGTGTGTAACCCACTCCACTAGTGGCAGCTTAGAAGTTGCCGTTGCAGTATGTATTATGTACAATAATCTAACCAACCGGTAGCTTATGTGGCATTTTAAATGGTGATGGAATGCAAATCACAGTTGATTTTACATCTTCTTGTGAATCAGTTTTGCTGCCATAGTCGGCTGTACAGCTCTATGAGAGAATCGGAAGAGAAACAGAGCATTGCTAACGCAAGTAAGTACTGCTAAACAATCAGGGTGACCAATGGCTTACAATAAACAGTTTAAAAGGTAGACGTGGCCGGTTGTTAAAAAATCTCAAAGGATGGAGCCATAAAAATGACAATTAACAACGTTAATTGATGTTAATGTTAGCTGGAGGATGTGTCTCCCGCTTTTCCCCTTTCCGCCGTGTGTAGGCAGCTACCTGTGTTGGTGGCGCTGCGAGTCGCTGTGGCCGCTTAGATCAAAGCGGCCGCCGGCACTCACGCGCCTGCTTTGCTCTCGGCACTGTTTCTGTGCCCGCGTCGGGTTTTGCATTTCTTGTTCGTGTGCGCGCGAGTGATTTTGAGAACCGAGATCTTCGTCTTCCTTTATCTGCATCTTGGATTTCGGAATATTGCGCTGCTACGCACACGGGTTTTCGCGCATCTGCGATAGCTGTCGTCTAGCTACTATCTGTGCGATGGCTCAGCTCAGATGCTGCCGTCTATCGATATCTAGGTTCTGTTACCATCAGAACTGGCTATATCCTCACACGAATTTCAGACTAGCTCCTTATGCGTCATCTAAATCCGACTATATCCGAAGAGCGAAGCCAGCAGCTCGCACTAGCAGCCCTACAGAGAATCATCGGTGCGAAGGGAACAGCGGACAAGATCAACCATTGCTCAGCGAAAAAGTTACATCCGTCAACAATTATGCAAGCACCACAATCTTCTTAACTCACAGCAGTGACCACGTCCAATGGCGAGATCGGTCCATAAGCTGCAGTGGCTGCGCCTAACGAGAAGACAGGCCACCAAGGAAAGCTGCACCACTTCTGCTGACGGGAGCCTTCACTGGACGGCAGGCAAAGCAGGCCTACAGGCTACAACTATGACAGCTGTACCTCGGACAGCGAAATGCCCCTACCAACGGCGGCGCTCATTTCCGACGGGAAGTTAGGCCACTGGCGAGAGCTGCACCTTCCTCTGACGGCAACATAGGCCTCCAGTTGCAGCCGCCCCTTCCTCGGACGGCTGATAGGCCCTTACCCTCGGCGGCGCACACCTCCGTCAGCAAGCGAGAGATACACCTCCCGCGGACGGCAGTTAGGTACCCTATAAATGGCTGGCGCGCACCTTCGACGGCAAGCAGGCACAGCATCAGCGGCCGGACCTTCCTCGGATGGCAGACAGGCCCCCTCGCAACGGCGGCGCCCTCCTCTGACGGCAAGCAGGCACAGCATCAGCGGCCGGACCTTCCTCGGATGGCAGACAGGCCCCCTCGCAACGGCGGCGCCCTCCTCCGACGGCAAGCAGGCACAGCGTCAGCGGCCGGACCTTCCTTGGATGGCAGACAGGCCCCCTCGCAACGGCGGCG